TAATTTCATATTTCAATGAAGGTATCTAATTGTGCTTTGATGCAATTTGTTTTTTTTTTTTGGCATTAACGTCATCAATTATACATCTGGCAATATATCCGCTAAAAATTCATTCGAGTTTCTTTGGTAAGTAGATTTAAAGTCAGTGAATGAAAATATTGATGTTATAAATATAAATAGAAATTAAAGAGGAAGCCAATCTCCATTATAATAAGCTGGAGAAGGAAGCGAGAGATCCAGTATAGCTTAATGACTATGATTCGAAGCTGATTTTTTGGTAGAACTATCTATAGACTTATCATACAACTGATGATCAAATCAACTGACGGGATCTACATGTCTAGACATTCAATCAGGTAGGTGGAAATAGATTATTGAGAAGTAATTGGAAAGAATCAAATGGTAATAAAACAAGTACGGAATGAAATTAATATATTTCTTCTCCATTGATAACTTTTTTTGCTGTTTGCTCGGTGTCTCCTGAAACCTGGAACCCTAACCGTATCGTGTATTGTGTATTGTGTGTTTAGAACGCCAGTCCCTATGAGGCGCGAAATTAGAATATTGAGATGTGCAATTGTTCTGTGTTATTACAGGACGAAAGTTCACACCTATAATACCAAGTTATAGCAGTGTACTCCTGTCAAGTCGTGCTACTTCTCAACACCCTCCACTATCAAGTTGCAATCGGTGCAGGAGAAACATAAAAGTCTTTCATCAATTGACAAGGTATTTTAAATTAGACCCTGACACATTTGATAAAGTATTTTAGATATCTGAGATATTAATTTATGATTATATTTTTAACTATATTTAAGAGTATTTATAAATTCCTCAATCTTCAATATAGGAATTATATGTTGTCTATCACTCAAGTAGTTACCTATGTATTCATTGTTACAATTACGGATAGAGTGGAACTATTCAGATGGGTCGATTTTGATTATGTTACTTTGGGCAAGGGTCTAGAACCCTGTGGCTCATTTCCCGATATCAAGCCGCTGCCTTAGGGTAGGGTTAGAAAGAAATAAATCTAACTTAGGTCAAGACAGATGGTGATATTTCACAGAGACGTCAACGGAGCCAGAAACATCCTAATCAAGTGTATTGCTTTCAACACTTAAACACATTAAATAGGGGTGTCCGTCTATGCTCCCGAAAAAAAAAGACATTCTATGTTAATTCTATGGTACATTCTCATGAACAGTTGATGTTTTGTGTCGTAATAATTTTTAAGTATAAGTATTAAGTATTAAATAATCAGTAACCTAACCGAGTATTTCTTTTTTTAATAGATTTCTACAAACAATTATTTGTTACATTATAATGTAACATTCCAAAAAAAACAGTTATTAATTAGGAAGTTTGTTTTTTTAATTTCCAAAGCTAATATTACTAAAACCATTGGTTACAACAGAAAAATATCCACAAGTTTAGAATAAACGCGTGTGATGCCTTTAATGAAAAATATGCATAACACGCAATTCTTTTAAAACAATTTCTTTAGAAAATACAATGTTTACTTTTTATGCTTTATGCTTGACTTATAAGTATCTTAAAAAATTTTTAACCAATATAAACAATATACAAATATGGCTGAAGTTTACTCCGAAAATGCTTGACTTATCATCTATCAATAAATATAAAAAAACATGGTTTCTGTGGTTCTAATGGCTTTAAGTTTGCCAATGACCAAATAAAGATTTTGAAAAAAAAAATACTGGATAGTTATTAAGTCATTTCAGTGAAATATACGATTGACAATTACAAATTAACTACTGTCACTACTGCCCGTCTTAATCTCAATATCCTCAATGACTAAAGTTAACATGATTTAATAATTGAATTTTCATTTTTTTAAAGAAATACAGTTTTAATATAAATATTTTTGAATGCTTTTAAACCAAAGTTAAATATCCCGTTTCAATCAATTGTATTTTTATTAAAGCTATAGGTGTAATTTTTTTGAAGTTAATTACAGCACTGGTCATGCCAATTGTCAAGATTAACCTTATCCGTGATCTTGGGGGTTTCCCCATTAGGCAAGCATATTGTTCGACACGATAGTTAAAAAAAGACAAGTAAAAACATATTTGTATTGAAACAATTCCCTTATCCAAAACAAATCTAAACCTAAGGAAACTCTGTGTTGGGTGATATGTAAAACAAAAAGGGATACCAAGTTAAGAAACCACTCCGGAATATGGTACTGATTTATTTTAACCTATCTATTTATTTTGTGTATTTTCAGGTTTCAACTGTTTTTAGCTACATAAAATTAAAGTAAAAAAATTTTTAACAAAATGTCAAAGTCAAGTTCCATATTAGAAAAAAGATCATTCATTAAGCAAGAAGCGCTTATTTATTAATAATTATTCATTGTAATGAAAGATCTTTTAAAAATTAAGTAGATATTTAAATAAGTTATATATTTTTTTTTTCAATCAACGTTAATCCAAATAACTTATATTAATTCAAAACCATATTCCATCATGTGTCATATCTGGTAATCATGGAATTTTTTCCAAAAGAATTTGACTTTTAAATGCTGAAGGGTATACTCGTTACTTGAGTCATATTCGATATTTAGTATCTCCGACGGATATACCAATCATTAAAAAAAATATTTTGAATAAATGATTATTTTTAACGAACTTGAACACAAACAGAAACAACAAGTTGTTTTTTATGTTACTTTACTTTTGATTCTTGTTAAGATTTTATCACCACCATGTTTTTATATTACCTTTCAAGTTAACCAATAATAAAAAAAATTTGAATAACAAAGTGTTCCACTTTTTTTGAAAATTAATGACTTGTTGGATGAATAGTTTGCAGTTAATCCCAGTTCATTGTTTGTTCAGTTAAATCATATTGGTCAGTAGTTAAAGAATCATTTGACGTCATGAAAGTTATTGATATAATAATACCGATGTTTTTTTTGTTTTAAATTAATCTAATTTATTTTTCGTACAATCTGGGTTTTTTTGTTGTGTGGGGTTGTTCGTCTGTTTGTTTGTTTGTTAGTCTATAGCATGAAGCTTGGGTTGTATTTTGTGCCAATTATTTAATGCAATAATAAGGCATAATATTTTAACTTACTTAAAAAATACATAAATTAATAATTTTTCTTTCTATCAAATTAATTTGAAGTCTTGTGGAATTAAAAAGATCAATCATATTTATTTAATAACCTTTTCTATAAATTTTTGAAAAAGGAATGATATTAAGTAACAATGAATAATAATGGGGATAGGTATTTTAAGAAATAAGTTTTTGTTAAGGATTTAAATAAGTCACTATTATTATTTTCTCTGCAACATTTACCTAAATTTCTTTTTGGGGGCAATTACTTATCAAACTTTTATATTTGCTATCTATTTGATGGCTCCGAAACCCCCAAATATTAAATATAAATAGTAATATGAGTCTTAAATGTTTCTAAAACCAGTGTTAACAAACCACTTAAATGTTTTTTTTACAGTAAAAACAAATAAGTTTGATTATTATAACTATTCAGAACCAACTATTATCTATTATTTGGTAATTTTTTTGACCAATTTAACTATCGTCATATTTGTTGTTTTATGAACATATATATGTTTCAATATATTGAATTAAAAGGTACCTTAGGGAAACTCATAGCGGTATGTATATGTCAAGATTATTACACTTAAATAATAAGAATTATATGCTAACGTTAGTTAGAAAGCCAATTTTTTTTTTCAAAAATGAATGAATGTTAAATAATAGGCTAATAAAATATTTTCAACACTTTAGAGGTTCTAAAAATTTGGATAGTACTGTTTTGGTTGTATTTTTCTCTCCTACAAATCAATTTTACAAAAAGAAAGAAGCTTGCAGATTTTTAGTAATCCATTAATAGGACGAGTCATCACCAATTCCTAAAAAAAAATAAATAAATATAGACTTTGAGGTAAATTTTGTTCAAATTGTTGATGTTTATTAATTTAATTTAAAGTGGCTATGCTTGCGTGATTCACAATAAGGTTATTCTTTATGTTTTTAAAAGTTGTGCTTATACAAGTCTCCTGGAAAGTACATGATTTAAAAAAGTATTAATGGTATTCTTTTTTGATAAAAGTAACAAGACTTAATTGAAACTTTTCTATATGAATTTTGCATACTTATTTTAATTAAAATTTTCGATATTTTGAAGATCTAAAGCTATGGCTTATTAATTTTTTTATTTTTACCAATAATCAATAATAAACATTACGGGTTAAAGCTTCCTTTTTTTGTCAATAAAAGCTTTTTTGTCATTTGCAAGCGCTTATCACTATTAGATATTTCAAACCTCAATATTTGTTTTTCCAAGTTTTGGTTTAGAAGTTCTTATCTCAAATTCTCTTATTAGTTTGTCTTTTAATAGGATAATGGTTTTGCAAGTTCCAGACAATTTTTTTTTACAATAATTTTAGTGCTATACTTCAATGTGAGTTTGATCAAAAAAAATTTAATGGTTCCTTATTACACGGGTGCCAATGTTAAGTCCATTTTGGTTTTTCTGGGGCAATATGTTTAATTAATCAACATTGAGTAATCCCCATAATAAAGTGGAGGCAAGCCTATTCTGAAATATTTTAACATTAATTCGCCACATTCTAAGCTGATTAAAAAATATCAAATCAAATCAATTATAGCAATGATATTTTAACAGATAGTCTGATTATTAGCTGTTTTTCTCATACATATTTTGCTTGGGCTCTTCAAAAGATGTTGAAAGTTGTTACGCGTTACGCCATAGTAGAATGTTAAAGTCCGCTCCACTCTATCATGTCACGTGATATATACTAACCAGTAAATTTGCCTCCCGCTACCTTGTGAGTTATGAATTCGTCCTTCCCTTGGATTTTACTATCACATTAGTACAAACATTATTCGAATATTTACCTATTTATTATTTTTTTATTTTTTATCACTGAAGATAAAGTATTAACTTCAGTAAAAAAAAAGCATTCAGTTTTTTCAAGCATACAATGAAACTTACACAGGCCTTACTTGTGCTCCTACTTCCGGGCACTGCACTTGCATCAGTGGCTGATATTGCACAGCAACCCAGTGCAGAACCTCCAAACTTTTCTGCAGAAATCCGACCATTAACTTGGGGTCAACTTAACATTATTCATACAACAGATACTCACTCCTGGCAGCCTGGACATTTACTAGAGCCTGGATTTTCGGCCGATTGGGGAGATATATATTCATTTGTCAGTCATCTTAAAAAAATAGGTAAAGATAAAGGCTCCGATGTGCTATTCGTTGATAGTGGAGACAGACACGACGGAAATGGATTTGGTGACGCCACTTCACCTGGTGGGATACTAGTAGAGAATCTATTTCTTTATCAAAATTATGATATTTTAACTGTTGGAAACCATGAGCTATATAAATACGAAACTGGTGTATCCGATTTTCTTACCATTGGAAAGTATTTTGGTGAAAAGTATGTCGTTTCTAATGTCGATATCATATTCAACAACTCCTGGGTGCCAATGGGTAATCGTTATCGGAGATTTACTACCGATGTTCAGAAACTAAATGTTGTTGCATTTGGCTTCTTGTTCAATTTCAGAGGCAATAATCCACTCACGAGAGTTACATTTGTTGAAGATGCTGTTAAGCAAGATTGGTTTCGAGAAGCTTTAAGTTTTGATGACACTGATGTCTTCATTGTTGCAGCCCACATTCCCGTACGTTTTTTCCCTGAGATGCGTACAATTGTCAATGCTATTAGAAAAGTCCACCCTCATGCTATTATCCAGTTCCTTGGTGGACATTCTCACATCCGCGACTTTGTTGTTTTGGATAAACAAGCAACTGCATTAGAAAGTGGCCGATTTTTAGAAACCATTGGCTGGTCCAGTGTCAATGGGATTGACAAAACTTCTGATAATGATAACGTTACATTTTCTCGTACTTATATCGACACCAATCTTCACTCATTTACAAGTCATACCAACACTACCTTGAATGAAAAGGAGACATCGGGGAAAGACTTTTTCCATAAAAAAGAGGGGGTTTCTATTTCGGAAAAAATCACCAAGTATCGAAAAGACCTTAAGCTTGATGAAGACTTTGGGTGCATTCCCAGAGATTTGTTTTTAAACCGCGCACCTTATCCTGGACACAATAGTCTGTACAGCACCTTGGAGGAGGTTGTGCTTCCAAGACTTTTGGGAACAGAGGTTTCAAAAAGTCGTTCGCTTGTTCACCCAAGATACATTATTATCAATACTGGTTCGATTAGATTTGATTTATTTAAAGGTCCTTATACGCGAGACAGTGGATATATTGTGTCGCCTTTTAAAAATAATTGGCTTTATATCCCCGATGTTCCACTGAAGTATGCCAAAAAGATTCTTCCGGAACTAAATAAGGTCCCATATATTCTTTCTGCTGATGACGTTGAAAATGATCGAGTTAACTCAAATAGTGCAATGGATTCCCAAGGCAGAATCACAACTGAGGGGCTTCCACAGTTAAATTACCTTGATATGAACATTCCTCAAAGCAGACACATGTATTATCGGTCACACCAAAAACCCCAACAGCATAGTCAACAAAATTCTGGAAATCAGGTTGTATTTGATACTAACGAGAAATATGAAGCTGGCCAAAGCAACTTTCAGTTAACTCCAGGTTACGTTACTTATGATGATTTTGGCAATGATGGTGACGATACCTATCACAGCGGGTGGAGATTTCACCAAATACCGAATGCCATTCAAGCTTCCCAAAACATCCCTAGTGAAGATGACGAAAATCTTATTGACGTTGTTTTTTACGACTTCATCAAGCCCTTCTTAATAGATGCATTGGAAAAAATTGGCTATTCAAATTATACTTTTTCATATTATGGCGGTGCTAGTACTGTGGAACTTTTGACAGATCATGTAACTGAATTTTGGTCCGCCAACTGCTAATACACTTGCCATAAAATGGTCTGTCTATTTTGATAACTTGATATTAATAGAAAATTTTTATAAAAGCTTTCAGTTTGCGTTGAAACTAAATTTCTAAACTCACTTACACATCAGTTCATTCAAAACATATTTGAAAACAAATCTATTAGCGACAAATTAATTAAACTCTGTCCCATACCTGTTCTATTCTAATTTTTACAAAAAAAAAAAAAAAAAAGCAGCACAAAGCTTAAACCTAAGTAGTACCAATAAATCGAAATTTTTTAATTTTTTTAGCTATCATAATACAAAAAGGTCCAAGAAAACAAAATGTTTACTCAGAAGCAGCTTGTTGAGCAGCGAGACGCTCATCTCTCTCCTCAGCAATGGTAAGTCTGATACCCTTGGCCTTGGGCAGGCTGATCAAAGGCTGGGAGCCCTCACCAATGATGAAAACGTTGGAAAGACGGGTAAGGAAAGTGTTGTCAAGAGCATCCTTAATGTGAACAATGTCGAAACCACCCTCGTGACGCTCAAGGTGGGTAATGATACCAACACGACCCAAGTTACGGCCACCGGTAACCATGACAACGTTACCAGAAGAGTACTTGATGTGAGCAACAATCTTGCCAGTGGCAAGGTCAATCTTGACGGTGTCGTTGACCTTGATCAAAGGATCAGGGTAACGGATGGTGCGGCCGTCGTGTGTGACAATGTAAGGAACACCCTTCTTGCCGAGCTGAACCTTCTTGACCTTGGCGAGCTTGTACTGGGCTTCCTCCTCAGAGATCTTGTGGATGGCGAATCTGCCCTTGACGTCGTAGATGAGACGGAAGTTCTCGCCAGTCTTCTCAAGAGAAACAACATCCATGAAACCTGTGGGGTAGGTGGTGTCAGTGCGGACCTTGCCGTCAACCTTGACAAGTCTCTGCATGACAATGGACTGGACTTCACGACCGTTAAGAGCATATTTCAAACGGTTTCTAAGGAAGATGACGAGAGGAAGAGACTCTCTAAGCTTGTGGGGACCGGGGGAGGGTCTGGGAGCGTATGTGCCGGAAAGCTTGTCAAGCATCCAGTGGGATGGAGCTGCGAGACGCTTCAAGTGCTTCTTACTGTAAAAATACGTTAGCAAATATTTTAATTTTCATTTCCAAATTCTCAAAAATGATGCAAGAAAAAAATGTCAATGACAATGAGTAAAGACTTTCCAACTTGTTTGCCAAATTTAAAGGTATAATAAAGGTATTTCATTTAAATTTCATAAATTAAAGGTATCTTATTGTCAGTGTCTTTATCATCGACATTTACAAGTCTTTCATATCCAAATTTATAAAAGCCATCATTCAAGAGAACTATATGAAGTCTTCACTGTTGGTACATACGGTCCTCTAGCCATTTTGATATCCTGAAATTATGTCGTTGGAGTCGGGTGGTCGAAGTGCAACGTCAAAGAGGGAACTCCTAGAACAAAAAAGGGAGAGGGAGGGGGGAGAAAAAATTTCAAAGAGTTTTTTCTTGCGCTGGCACACACACACACATATGGTACACTGCTTTGCCGTGTTACATCTCTGGGTCTACTGGAATATCTGATAAATTTCTTACTAATCATATCGTACAATAATAACCGTCTAGTTATATGCCAAACTTTGAAATAGAAATGTAACCAAATTATCAAACTTTCTGATTATGTAATTATGTTTAGAATATTTTTCAGACTGAAATTTACACAAAAATATTTATTCTATATATCTAACAGTCACTTACTCACTAGCCCTAATTATTAATTTAGGGCAATAAAGATTATTAATAAAATATATTAAAATGTTCAGCCGCTCATTATGTTATTAATAATTATGTAATTCTTATGTAATTTTTTTTAAAAAAATTTTCTGAAAATCAAGAAAAAGGAAATGGACAAGGCCGTTGAATTTTGATTAGATCGATAATAATCAACACCAAACTGCACAAACCAAATCCTGAAATTCACAATTACAATAACATTTCAAAATGCCATCTGGAGTCAGAAGAAAAGCGGCCATGAAGGCCGGGCGTGATGTTACACATAATCGTAAACAGCTTAAGCGTGCTGCCAGAAAGCGGACAAGAGAAGAACAAGTTAAACAATATATCAGACGTAATCCAATCCTAGCAGAGCAATGGGACCCAAAAAAAACTATGGCTCAAAAGTATGTTTTTTTTAAAAAAATATAAATTTTTTTATGTTTATATTAATTTGCTAACAGCTTACTATAGTTATCAAATTTTAGGGTTAGCCAGAAAGATTGGAGGATATACAGGAGGTGAAGAAAGAAAGTTTTTTACAGATAAGGAAAAGGACGAAATAGAAGAACTCGAAAGATTAAAAAATGAAAAGAAAGAAGAAGTTCTTAAGGCTGATGAAGCACGGATAATACGTGATGATAACGGAAATGTGGTTGAAATCATTTACGGAAAATCTATTGAAAGTGACGATGAAGACAAGGAAATTGGCCAGGATTTGGAAGTGGACGATAATCAGCCAGAAGGTATCCGACGTTTAATAGAACTTTCAAAGCAGGAAGAGGTAAAGAAGGGCAGAGAACAAAGTGAAAGAGAGGTTGATTGGATTGCTGAGTTAGTGGCTAAACATGGTGACGATTATGAAGCCATGAAATGGGACAAAAAGCTCAATATATATCAGCAAACCGTTGGTGATTTACGAAAAAGAGTCACCAAATGGAAAAAAACTCAAGGGAAACACTAATTAGCTCACATATAGACAACTTTTGAATGATTAATGAAAAATAGCCTTAGCATTGTATTTTAAATTAACATCAACTTTCGGTTATTATTACAGTCTTGATATAATTAAAATAAAAAATGTCGAAAATAATTTAAAAAATGTTTAGCCCATGTTTTTTATGCGGCAGAGACCTCCACAATGGCAGTGTAGGTGACAACTTCGTCATCTCCTGTATTTGTCAACTCCACTGCTGTTCCTGCACCAATGAAGGCAACTTGACCTCGAGGGAAATCCAAAGTAGTAGTCTTACTACTAAGCTTAGCCGATCCCTCAGTGATGATGATAATAGATGGGCCATCAAGTGCCTGAAGAGTTGTGGAGTCGCCTTTCTTGGATAAGACTGTTTGAACCACTGCAAACTCATCAATTGGGGGGTTAAAGAGTGTATTCTTGACAGAATCCGAGGATGATTTAGATAAAGGATAAGGTTCAGGAACCATTTTTTGTTTTTCCACTGGATCATAGGAATAAGTGAGCATTGAAACAAGATTTGGAACATCCTTGAACTTTGGTGTAAATCCAGCACGAACAACATTATCACTGGCAGCCATGCACTCAATTATATCCCCAGAAATGTATGCATGGGGATCTTTAGCCCTTAAAAACATAGCTTCTCCAGATTTAAGAGTCACATAGTTAAGCATTAAGCCACCACAAAAAAGCCCGATATCTTCTGGGAATTGTTTGTTCAATCTGATAATAAGATCAGCAAGTGATTTTCCAAAAGGACCCTTATAACTAGGATCAATGCTAGATCCAAACTTTTCTTGTTCCCTGGAAGCACGCTCTACCAGTAACACTGTAAATTTAGAAACAGTATCTTGAGATGCATTCATAACTCTAGAAAAAAGAGCTTGAAGAACTTTGCGGTTTGAAACATCTTTAGGAGAACCTTCCTTATCTTCGGGAGACAGTTCTTTGTAGCCATTGATGAACTCGTCAGCAAATTTTTGGCCACCAATAAGCTCCACAAACTCAGGAATATTTTTGAGCAATGCAGAGATTTCGGCAAGAGGTCTGAAGCCGCAGAAGCCTTCAAAATCGGTTATAGCAATAGCCATCTCAGGCTTGTGATTACCATCGGGGTAGTTTTTGGGATCTGATGCATGAAGTTGTTTCCCAAGAGCCTTGTCGGGGTGTGCTTGAATAGACAATGCCTTTCTAATAGAAAGAACTTTAAATAAAAATGGAAGCTCTCCTGGACCAAACTTGGCTGTGATTCGATCGCCCATCAGGCCAGGATATTTGCTGAGAACAGTACGAAGAGAAGTAGATTGAACTGAAGAAGATACAGCAAAAGATGGAACTGAAGGATGAGTTCCCATCCACAATTCAGCATATGGCTTGGTTGGGTCTGCTTTGAAACTGGGATCTGCGGACTCTGCAAACTGTGCAACAGCAGAAGATTCGCCCAACTTCCCCCAGTCATAAGTCTGCACACCGCAGTGAAGTTTAACAAGATCAAAATCAGATTGAGACATTTCTTAGTAATTGAATGGATTAATAGAATTAGAAGCTCTTGAAGATTAAAAGTAGATGATTGTAATGTAGAATATAAACAAAAATATATAGTGCTAAGTTTAGAAAAAAAACTGAAAGTCTATTTTAATGATCCCTTCGAGTATTGTATGAGGGCTAAATTCCACGGATAAGTGTGGAATGCTTGACACGTGTTATCAACATTTCAAATGGATTAAAGTAATTCAGCCTTACATGTCATTATTGTTTACTCCAAAAAAAAAAAAAAAAAACTATCACTCATTCACCCACGTCTTTACTTAGATTCAGTAACTGAATCCCCAAGCCATAGAATTACACACGCAATATCATGTCTACAAGCAATACGCCACAACTAAAGAATGCACGCCCCATAAGAAGAATTCCTATAACTTCTCGCTCGGACTATATCGTCACAGTATGCAGTGAACCTTTTGTTGTAAAACACACCGAGAACTACTGCTCTAACTGAAGACTGCTGGAGATTAATAGGATAGCGGAAACCGCATTTCAAGGCAGAGTAGGATTAAAGGATCTCAATACATTACTTTGGCTGGCAAAAACTTAGTAGAAAAAAATGTTACCATACGTGGCGATTTGCACCGACCCGACCTGAAGGCACCTGTAGTATCTGTTGGCTTTTACTGCATTTTCGAAGAAAGTAGCTTCATATATCCTCCTGCACGAAAACTTCCTATATCAGAAGAATCAGCATTATCTCAAGAACAAGCCAAAGCAATTTGCCCCGAAACTGGGAAAATTCATTTTCCTATTAAAATTGGTAGCTACGTCTATGTGGGTCAAGGAACGCGTTTGGAAGCAGCTCAAATTGGTAACAATGTATATATTGGTAAAAATTGCACTATTGGCGAATTTGCAAATATTAAAGACTGTGTTATTATCGAAGATGGAACAGTCGTACCACCATATGTCACAGTTAGTCCTTTTTCAAGAATTTCCGGAGAACCCTCACTGTTTATAGAAGAGCTTCCTGAAAGTACTGAGCATGTTTTGGAAATGTATTGTCGAAAAGTCTATGCCGGGATTGATATGGTAGGCCCACCTCTTTAAAAAAAATACATAAAAATTAAATGAATAGTGTGCTCAATTATGTATAGGGTAGTAATTAATAATAATATTTTTTATACAAAACTACCTGATTTCGTATTAGTTACTACATGATTTATTATTTTAAATGCCTTGCAAGGCATTTACACAATTGTGTGATAGAATACTTTAATATGCTTAAGCATAGAATAATTATTTAATCATTATCATTATCATTATACTACTTTATAGAGAATAAAACTTTTGGACCATTATTGTAAGAACTCTGAATTGATTTTTTTTTTCATAAGTCATGATTCATAATGTATGCGACAGGAATGGTTTTAAAGGGTTCGCTTGTGATTTTGACGAACGCGTTTATCGTTTATTTCTTTTCGTCAGGGATGTTGGTAGATAGCCAACCAAGACCTTCAACAAGGCCCTCACCAGTCTTTGCAGTAGAGGCAACTACACACCAAGTTCTTCCCTTAAGTGTATCTAGTTGAAGTCTTTGGGTGACTTCCTTGGGGTGCATGGCATCAGGAAGATCTTGTTTATTAGCAAAAACCAAAAGAAGGGCCTCTTTCATCTCTCGATCATTTATAATTCTATGAAGTTCTTGTCGTGCTTCGTCTATGCGTGCTTTGTCTGCCGAATCAATAACAAAAATCAGCCCCTGAGTTCCTGTGAAGTAATGGCGCCATAAAGGTCTAATTTTTTCTTGTCCACCAACATCCCATACATTAAAGCGAATATTTTTATAGGTAAGAGTTTCCACATTAAATCCTACAGTGGGAACAGTGGAAATTCTAAAGAAAAACGCGTTAAGGTTAAAACATAAACATATAAATTTTATAAGATCGTGTGCGTGGCATTATTTATAAAAAAAATTTTAAAAAAAAGGAAAGTGCAAGTGAAAACATAAGCACATGGAGTAGCACAATTGTAAGTAGCGATAATCATACAAGAAAAATGGGCTGCAAAAAAAATTTATTCAAAAACATACCCTTGGTTTAATTTCAGTTTGTAAAGAATCGCTTAAAAATTCAACGTGTTAGATAACAAAGACACAGAAAGACGCGTCAACTTCAACAAAAGATGTAATCATAAACTATTTAGTTGATAAATGACATGAATTTACATACTTGTTTTTCCAGCGGCATCTAAACCGAGCATGAGAATCCTAGTTTTTAATTGTGTTAATAACTGATTCTAAATGGTTTTCTAGTAATAAATTGAATTTCATACCGGATTTCTCGACTTCCAAAAAGCTTGGCCTATTATGAAAGGATTATTTGAAAATAGCGTTAGATAAAAAAAAATCATAAATAAAAAACAGTACAGATAAATCAAGCAGATAAATATCCATTTAGGCATGAGAATAAAATGCATACAAAAATTTTTGACATAGACAGTCCCATTTTAAATATCAAGACTGTAAAAGATAATGAAACACGATTCTTTTGATTTAAATATATGAAATAGATGAACGCCAGAGAACACCCTGGAATATAAAGTGACAAGCAAAGGCTAGTTTTAGAAAGGTATTTAAGGGATGGCGCGTAAATACAGTAGTTAAAGAAGAAATCGTATTAAAAAATAGATTGAGAAAACAAGGGGAATAGTTGTTTGTTTTGTTACAGTTACACGGATAATGTAATATCAGCCTCCCGAACATTATATGAAAGTCTCTTCCAAAGTTTAAGTTTGTGTGCAACATCGAGTTATGGCAGAAGCAGCCAAAGTCAAAAATAACAAAGGTTTATATGCATTATGAAAATAGCATCCATAAGAAAAGTTTTTCAACGCCACCATCATATTTTTTAGAAAAAAACTTCTGTAATAGTCTTGAAAAAAAAACAACAACAACAACACGGCAATAGCCTTTACCAACTTACTTGTTCAACTCTTTTCGTTTTTTGATTTCTTGCAAGTAACATATAACTAATCTATCGACAAAATATATTATATATATATTTCGGTGAAATAGTTTTTTTTATTAAAAATAATACAACCTATTGAGCTCAATGGACCGCCAGTCAAACATTGGCCCTATAAACAACGATAGCCTTCAAAATAGACATATAAACTCAACCCAAGTACAACTAGACGAGAAAAATTCCTTAAATCAACACAATGGTCAATCTTCTTCGATAATGACACAACAAAATTTACCATTACGACCCACATCGTCATCCTCATCGTCTTCTGCACCTTCATTTACTTCAGGGCAGTCGCAGGGAAACCAACTACACAGATCTTTTTCTAGCCGGAAAAGTTTCACCAACTCAAAAACAGAGCAGTCTTCCGTCACACAACTTGAAAATATTATTTCTGCATCTCTTCAACTAAGGCTTAGCCCTCAAAAGGTAAAATAAGTACAATAAATTGTTTTTTTCCACAGCTAACATAATGATAAACTTTAGTTTCTAAAGCTGTATAATCAGCTACAAGAACGAGTTAAAATTGACCCCAAATCAACTTTAGGTATGCCATTAATTATACTAATACGATCACGAATTTCTACTAATATAATTCATTAGAGGCGCTATTTCATTCACAGTCAGAAACACGCACTGTTGACACGTTATTTCTTCAATATATTTCAGCTTTGGCGTTTGATTTTAAATCCCCTTTATCTTTACCTAATCTGTTATATCATCTTCGTTTTATCCAAGCTCGCCCTCAATCTTCGAATGTCAGCACTGATCTCATACAGTTCTACGAGCCTCTCATATTTGTGACTCTTTCGAAAAATCTTTATTTATGGCCAGTTCAAACCCCAAGTTCCAAAACATCAACAAATAGCTTATCTCCACCATCGCAACCATTACGAAAGCCTCAAGCACCAAATACCAAGAAGACAACTGACATTTCTAAAAGTTTAATAATTGTCATGATTGCTATCCTGGATGACTGTTCTTCTCAAGTTTACCCCATATCTAGACAAAAGCTGCGAGCATATTCGTCATTTCTTCTGGCATTTGCACGCAGTGGACATGCGGCTGTTGTTATTGGCTCTAACAAAGATGTTTTTAGAAAGGCATATGATGCATTTGAAAGCTCTTTCATTAAATTTACAGCAACCATATCCTCCAAAGAACCAGATATTGGAAATGAGTTACAAAAAGAGTATACTGCAGTATTTGGCAAAGGTTTAAACTCATCATCTGCAGCCGATTCTTTCACAAAACCTACTCGCATTTTCAGATTGATATGGATTGACACTATTTTTAGATATCGTCGTACATCATCTGTTCAATTAAATACCGAACTCGAATACTTTTTACTCACTGAGTCAACACCTACTGTTGTAAGCGACCTTATAGTGACGTCTTTTGATTTACTTGCAGTAACAATAATAAGAAAAGATCAGTCTCATGTCATTGCTAGTGCCAAAGCTTTTCTCACCAAACGACTTCCTCTTGCCATTAAATCTCTCATATTAAGCTCGCAAACCAACTTGACTCCGGATCAAGTGGAGCTGGCTATTTCACAAGCATTTCTGTCCTTAAATAAAGATACTTTGGCCATAGTTCAATCGCACACTAATTCAGGCGATAATTTTGACGAGATGTTTAGTTCTTCATACTCAGTTCCTGTCGGAGATATAAGATTTGTGTTACTTCGATCGCTGATAAGCCTTGGAATAGTCAGACATTCTATTTTGACAAAAATATTTAACATGGATGCAAAACAGGCGAATGAAATTCCAATTAATAAGGTTAACGAAGATGCGTTGAATAATCAAGGTCTTATAATTGACTCTTCTAACCATTCATTTTTACTTTTTAATATGGTTATGCTTGCTAACCAGGAAAAAGTGGAGTATGTCTCATTTGAAGAAAGCAGCATCACAAAACTGGTGTTTCTGCTTGAAGATCTGGAAGGCGTATATCAGGAGAGAGTCGCGCTTCAAATATTTAAACTTATGGGGTCATGGATTGGATCGATGAATACAAACAGCATTGGCAGATTAACACAGGCTTTTGTTTCTCGTCCTGTTTTTATCGATATACTCTTTTTACATGTTTCAATGAGTAACTTTCTTTTGCCTTTAGTGAAACTTTTAGACGATTGGAGCCAGGACGAGGATGAAAGTAATCTTCAAGATTTATATACAGACTTCGGGTCTATTATTTTGTTTGTTTTGTTTGTCTTCGATAGATATAAGTTGGATCTCCATGATTTGGGAATCAAGCCACCTGAACTTGTTCTTCCTGAAAAAAATAACCCCAAATCAAATAGTATCTCTAACCCACCAGTGTCATTTGTTACAGCACAGATCCAGCAGTCAAATGTCTCTATTTTATTAGATGAAAGCAGAAGTGAACTCGTGGGTGATTGGATATCGGCGCTATTTGGTGCAGAAGGTATTTCTGATGAACTAATGCAAAGATCTTCTGCCAAAGAACTATATTCTATAGTTCCTTTGATATTTCAGCAGGCAATTGAAGCTTGTGCTGCAAAGATTATTGATTTAGATACTTTGAAAGGTGGCTTAGAATATTTTTTACACTCCTTTTTAATTCCTACACTTGTTCCAGCTATTAGATGGATATGCAACAATATTTGGAAACAACATAACATTCCAATTCTACTTCAAGTGATTCAAAGTTTGATTTTTGCGGAATGTTCGGGAGATGCCCACAGGCTTCAACAGGCCGTACTGGCTGTTACTGGACGAGAGCTTATTATTTTGCTTAATGGAATCAATTTGGCAGCTAGCCAAATGGCCTCTGAAAACAATCCCAATGCATCTTTATATATTGTTGAACCTAAAGTATTGTCTCTTCTTGAGAATTTCTATACTGGTTTGTCATCTTCGGAGTTGATTGTCTCCCAAAACACTAGTTTGGTATCCTCTTTTGCTGATCAAATAAAGGCATTGGTTCAATGGTCTTCTTCAGATTCGCCACCTCCAGCACTTCAAACGGACTTATTAATTTCGTTCATCAAACAAATTGGCGCTTCTAAAGTATTGTTTTCTCTTTTAGATCAGTTAGATGATTTCAATCAGTCTGGTCTTCTCAGTGTTGCTATTGATGTAATTGGATCGTTTACTACAATGCCGTTTTTAATGATCAACAAGTTTTATCACCAAAAATACGACGAAAATCTTTATCATCTTATAGTTGAATATACCCCAACAAGGATTTCTGAGATTCGGAAAGCAATTAAAGAACGCAAGGAGGAACAAATACTTTTAGATCAGGCTGAGCAAAAAAGGACAGCCTTTATTGCATCTATGTCTCGCAAGGGAAGCAAGGGTAATCGTTCAATTTCAGGCCCTAGTTTTCGTGGAATTGCTAATGGAAAAACAAATGCAGCTACTACAGCAACAGCAGCAGCAGCAGCAGCGGCAGCATCTGCAGCAGCTGATCCTTCTAAAAATGGTCAACAACAAAAGACTGGACAGGCTAGTGGATTACCACAAGCGACTGGAGATCCAACTAAAAAGGGAATTTTGAAAGAAAATACAAACGAGGATTTAGGAACAGGGTTTGCAAAGCTACAACAACACATTCAATTTTTTCACTCAAGACGTAAAACCATGGAGGCAGTAATTACTCGCAGATCTACTCAGACTCAAGCTCAAGCACAAGCACAAGCACAAGCACAGGCTCAGGCGCAAGCACAAGCACAAGCACAAGCACAAGCACAAGCACAAGCACAAGCACAAGCACAAGCACAAGCACAAGCACAAGCACAAGCACAAGCACAGGCTCAGGCTCAAGCTCAAGCGCAAGCCCAATTGCAAGCCCAAGCTCAATTACAAGCACAAGCACAAGCACAAGCACAAGCTCAATTACAAGCACAAGCACAAGCACAAGCACAAGCCCAATTACAAGCTCAGGCTCAAGCTCAAGCGCAAGCCCAATTGCAAGCTCAAGCTCAGGCACAAGCCCAATTACAGGCCCAAGCTCAAGCACAAGCACAATTACAGGCACAAGCACAAATGCAGATGCAAGTTCCAACGCAAGTTCCAACGCAAGTTCCAACGCAAGTTCAAGGGCAGCCTCAGGCATTTTTGTCCACGAATAATAATTTTGCTATGGGTGAAAACAGGAATGGAAATGAAAGCGCTGGATCTCCTAATCAGCAGCAACAGAATCCCCATTTATATTTAGACCACAACATGTACTGAAAAAAAAGAGAGAAATATATGATTTAAATTATAATTTGATTTTTAGATTAAAAAACAAGACAAAACAAAAGAATAATATTTCCGTCATTTAACAATCAATAGTCTTCTTAGAAAAGTGGAGGAAAATAAGGTACACATCGGCCAAGAATGTTTCAGTCAATAAAACATTAGTCATGTATTACATAATTTAAAATTTAATTTGAAATAACAAACAAAATTAAATCTTCACCACCATTTAATTATCACGAACATTTTAAAATAAGAAACGAGGAAACAAAATCAAAACTGTCGAAATAATTTACTCACGCCATTGAAAATTTATTAAATTAAAGAGCATATTGATTTTCATAAGGGGATAATTAATTTTCTTTAAGACCTGTTTGATTTTATGCGAAGCATCTTGATTTTGTTTTTTTTTCTTGGAAATTAAAATATAGCAAGGGGGTGAGTAAACGCGCCTGTTAACAGCCTTGACGCGTATATTTATCTAACACGCGACTTTTTTTCCACCATGAATAGAGATTTATAGATTTATAGACTCGAATATTTTTTTTTAACAAAATTACAAATTACCAGTGGCTGAATCACTTGCAATTTATGGCGATTCGATTTGTTAGAAGTCTAAGAAAACCAAAATTCCGAGACACTAGAATTAAATGATAACCAGCTCTAATCCAAATTTGATTTTAAGTTGACATATTAGGAAAAAAAAATCTACGAGACAATTAGATATACATATTTAAGTCTTATTTTTTTAATTTTTTTTCTACACGACCTCAAACACTTTGAGAGAGGCACTATGGGCCCTAAACGAAAAGCTACAAAAAAGGGTTCTAGTACAGCTTCTTCTTCATCAAAAAAACCAACCAAAACTCAAGCCAATACAAAGCAATCCAATGGTTCAAAGGTGACGCGTATTTCGAGTAGTTCAAATCCAGAGGTGATTCTTTTAGACCAAGCTCCGGTACACAAGGTTCTCACCCGAATCAATAGGACCAAACGGACAAGCTCGAAAACGACATTTCCAGTTGATGAATTACAACCTTTTAGGTCACTAAGGATACCATCTAAGAAGGGGAAAACCGCTTCTTTTGCGCTTGATAGTATGACGGACAATGATGAACCCATTGGAGCGATACCTTTGAGCCAAATTGAGGATGATGATGGATTTGTTTTTGTGCGAAAATCTGGATCAGTGATTTCTTCTCAAGAGCCTTTAAGCAGAGGTCAGGGTCGTAAACTTAAAAGTATTGCTGAACCAATTCTGGAGGATGAAGATGAAGATGAAGATCAAAGAACAGAAGAAGAAAACGTTAATGAAGAAGAAATATCAACAGAAAAGCTTCTTCCTAAACTTACACGAGTAAAAATGAATGCCGTTTCTAATATAAATGATGCTCTTTCTCGGTCTCGGCAAAAAAAGAAAGCAAGTATTGAAGATACACATCCAACCACTTTAAAGAGCAGAAAGAAAGCAAATAGCATTGAAGAATTACCATCAAAAGCATCTAGAAACAGAAGGAAGAAAGATATCAGTGAAGAGCCACTACTTCGAAACGAAAGCGAGGAAGTTAGTGAGGAAGAGCTTCCTTCACCACCTCGAGGAAGAAAAAGACAAATGTCATTAATGGAGAAGCCTAAGTTGACTCGGGGAGCCAAAAAATTAAGGAAAAATATAGAGGGGGTTGAGATGAGCTCTTCGGATGAACTTTTACCAACAGCTCCAGCCAGAAGGACACGTTCAGCTAAAACGAAAACTAAACAGGATGACAAAGAGCCAACAAGCATTTCACAACTGGCCCGTGAGGATTCTGAGTCTGTTCCAAATGGAACAACATTAAAGGGACGTGGGAACCAAAGGGTGCCAGTTAGAAAGCCAGAGAAAACCCAACGTCAGACGAAATCCAAGTCTAACCAAAACAGCATAGATAACAAGAGAAGAGAAGATACCCGGCAAGAAGGCCTTTTGGACCAAGATGAGTTAATTCTTCTTCCTGATTCTAGTTCTGAAGAAGATGATGAATTAGATTTGATATCAAGTACGAAATTTGTGTTTCCAAAAACCTCGAAAAAGCGGATAAAGAAACATATAGAAGAGGAGCCTTTTAACGAACCAACGCCGGAACCATCAATACATGAAGAAGACGTGAAAATGGTGGATGAAGTGGCTAGCTCTCATAGCAGTCCTAATTTACAAGAAGACATCAACACTACACCGACAAGACCAATAACAACAACAACTACAACTACAACAGAAGAAAACGTGGAAGAGGATGTACCTGGTCACACTACACAAATAACGCTGCCTATTTCAGATACGCCGATTATACGCAGGAATCAAGAGATGCGGAGGCGGATATCGAATTCGCGAAGGAGCAGTCTAGGGAATCGGGGCAAGCGAGCCAGTTCGATTGGCAATGGGTTTACAGCGGTTCCCCATTCGGAGGTTGAGCCGGAGAATTTTTATAAGCACTTGGACCACGAGGCGCCTGATCCACATAGGATGAAGCAGCTACTGGTTTGGTCATCGCGACGAATACTAGAGATGCAATCTGAGCAGTATAATAAGCTGAAAAATAGTCCTGAGTTGAGTACAGAAGAGCGCACAGCATTACGGATAGCTCGAGTAATTCAAGAAGAAGTGGTTCAGGATTTAAGCGATGGCAAGATCTCAACCAGCTGGTGGAGTCGGCCGACTGAAGATGAGAATGAAGACACATTGACTACAAAAGCACCGAAGAAGTTCAAGCCTAATGTTCTCAATATTGCTAATCGTGAAAACCTTGCCATTTACCGGAAGAAAATCCAAGAGCTGCGTCAAGAAAGAGAGCGATGGCTTGCCCAGATTGAGCGGGTTAAATCCGCAGCTGAGGGGTTTAAAAAGTTTATGGTGATGACTGAGCAAGCGAGTAATCCGGATTCCTCGTCCAAAGAGGGCCTGACACAGGCACTTAAACGGTTTGCACCTGAGGAGTTGGAGCGAGTGATTACTGATTATCCAGTTCTTGATTCCGGAGTGGGGTCATCTGAGGTAGCAGCGGAAAAGACAATTTCTGTTGTGAATGGTAGTATACAAGAGATGAATAAGAGTGTGGATATTTTTGGTGATTTTGCACAAAAGGTACAGACTGTTGCCACGGCTTCGAGTGCGTTTTCTCTGGGAGCCATTAAGGATATTTCGCTACAGCTACAACGAGAGGATGAAGCGGTGCGATATTCAAAGCTGCAGCAGCAGCAGCAGCAGAGGCTACAAGAAAAGTTGTTGCAAGGTACTGGGAAAGAGAGAGATAATAATGGTGAGCTTTTGGATGATGATGGTGAGGAAAGAAATTTAGGTAGTAGTGGAAGCAATGGTAGTAGCATTGAGAGCGATAATGAGAGCGATGAGGAGGGGTTTGATAAGAATGAGATATCTCCTGAGACGATGGGGTTAGCAGCCCATGCACAAGACAGCTCATTAGCATCAGTGATTATCAAGTCTATTCAGACCAAGAAGATTCTTGAGCAAGCAGAAGAAACAACAACAATAAGTAATGACGATATGATTAATGAAGGCTTAGATGATCCATTGGTATCAATCCAAGCAAACGAACCGCATGTACGAAGTATCCTACGAACCATAACGCGACTGGAACACGTTGAGCCGTCCCCATAGATTTATAATTTTTTTTTTTGCAACAATAACAAAAAAAAACAAAAAAAAACAAAAAAAACAAAAAAAAAACAAAAAAAGAAGAGAAGAGAGTAAAAATTTTTTTTTTTTTTTTTCTTTCATTCATAGGTATTTTTTTGCTAATGCTCTTATTTTCTGATCAAATATCGGGCTAGAGATTGGTTGGTTTAAAGAGTAAAATGGGGAGAGTAAAGTTTTGACATAAAGTTCGTATGCGTCGAAAAAAAATTGACGGATAGGTTCTTCGTTATGGGAAGCTGAAGAGGAGGATGAAGAAGATCCTATCAGACTTCCTGAGCCAGAGCTTGAACCAGATGAACCAACTACGCTTGAGCCAGTAGGTCCACTAGCGGAGCCAGCTGAACCTGACTTATGGAGAAGCATGAATCGGATATTACCAGCTGTGCACATTGCAGAAATCATGTAGCCATAGTGGTTATCAACGACTTTAAGGTAGAGTTGGTTTGAAGCCCATTGGACATCTTCGACAACATCTAGAGCTGAATGGACGACGAAGGGGTTAAGTTCGCGCATTTCTGGGGGGAACTATGAGCGAATTGGGTTGGGTAGTAAGTAAGTGAGTATGTAATATGAGAAGAGAGAGGTTATTATTAATGATATGGTTTGTGTGGTATAGTATAAAGGACCATCATTGGGGGTGTTTAAGAGCTGGGGTATATATTGAATGTTTTTTTTTTTTTTTTAAAAAGAAGAAGAAGAAAAAAAAAAAAAAAAAAAAAAAAAAAAAGAAGACTTACCCTTGCAATTCCGTCACCTCCTTGACGAAAGGTCCCGAATTCCAGTTCATATATTGGGGAATCATTAGTCCCCATCATTGCGAAGTAGTAGGACATGATTTAGGATGGTTTTAAAAGGTTGGTTTGGATTGAGATTTTTTCAAAATGATTTTTTTTGGGAGGGAGGGTGTGTTTTTTTTTATTATGGCTGGCTGGCTGGCTGGCTGGCTGGCTGGTTGTTTGGTTGTTTGGTGGTGGTTGTGGTAGTTAGAAGAAGGGATGGTAAAGACCACGTGATTTTACAAACGGCATGACAATCGGCAACAACAACAACAACATTTTTTTTTTTTTTGAGTATTGTTTGAAAAAAAATATCTGGGCCTTTTCTTTTTTTTTTTTTTTTTTTTTTTTTTTTTTTTTTTTTTTTTTTCAAAAGATGAAAAATGAAGAATAATATTTATATTTATATTTATAATGATAATAATAATTTCATATAAATCAAATCTTATTATTTGTTATTTATTTATTTTATTTTTCAAATGGCAAGTTATTTGTGACTTTGACTTTTAAAAATTACAAAGTGGTCAGTTTTTTTTTTTTTCATATATATAAAATGGACGATTAAAGCCCGGAAAAAGGAAGGAGAAGTGAATATATATATATATATATATATATTATTTTAAATTGATGAAAATTTACTTATTTTTGATTATTATTATTATTATTATTATTATTAATTTTTAATGAAATAAAATAAAAAATTATGATTGAATTGAATGAAAAAAAAAAAAAAAAAGTCTTTTCATTTTGTATAATAAAAAAAGGTGGCTGTGATAGAACGTGCCTTTATTATTATTATATAGTAAAATAAAATATAGGCAGCAGCAACACGTTACGCTTTCTAATAGCTCCGCGGGCACTTTTATTTATTTATTTATTTTTTTTTTTATCAAAAATACTTTGGAAATTATAAAAAATGATTTCATTCTATTTTTTTTTTATTATTTTATTATTTTATTATATTTTATTATTTTAAAATTTTAAAATTATAAAATTTTTATTTTGAAGTAGCCAGTTGGAAAGAAAAAAAATAATAAAAAAAAAGGTCTCCCCTTTTTATTTTAAAATTAAAAATTAAAAATAAAAAAATATATCAATCAATCAATTTATCACCACCATTTTCATTATCATTATAATCTTCACTTTTTTTTTTTTTTTTTTTTTCTTTTCCACCACCACCACCACTACTACAAACTATACTTTCATATACATCACCATTTAGACTTGAACTTTTCATTATCTATTCAAACCACCAAATTATTTCAATTTATAAAAACACCCTCCGCAGTAACATCATATTATATATATATATATATATAAACAGCTACTACGGAATTTCTCTCCTTTTTTATTTATTTTTTTATTTATTTATTTTTATTTATTTATTTTTACTTTTCTTTCACCCCCCCCCTCCCCCTCATTAAAGACACCATTCTGTGTCGTTTCTTCACATTAATACATCATCACCATCACTATCATCCCTTAAACATAAAAATACAAACGCATCTCTGCCATATATGCGTTCTTTCCTGTGGTGCCGACCTAAGACGCCTCTAGAATGCATATCCCAGCAACGTTTCGGCCCCATTACTCCCGCTCAAAGAAAATCAACTCAAACTCTTCAGCAAATGACTCTCAAAGTCTTGCTGCTGAAAGAGCAGCTACTTCAAGAGCAACAACAGCAGCAGCAGCCACTACTTTATCATCATCATCATCATCATCATCTCCAACAACAACTACCACTACTACAAAAACCTCCGAAACAGACTTTAAAAATGGGTCCTTGCTGCTATCCCCAGAACTTGCAAACAAAACGTCTGGTAAAGATGATTTGCACTCTCGACATCCATCATCAAAACTCGCGTCAAGACCAGTCTCTTCAATATCCACCAACGGGAAACCTCCTATGAACCCATCTCCATTGCGTCAAATTAATATCCATTCAGCATCATCACCAACAACAACAACAACAACAACAACAACAGACGCCGAAATACCCCCTTCATTGTCATCACCTTCTTCATCTTCTTCACTCGGTACTACCCCCATGGCAGTTGGTACCCAGTTGCTTTCCACCTCGTCACCACCACGAAGCACAAAAACAGGAGAAACAACCTTAAATACAACAACATCTTCATCCTCTGCATCTTCAACACCGCCACTCCCCTCTTCATCTTCTTTTCAAATGGCCTCTTCATCATCGCCACCTTTGAGTCCTTCTTTACCATCTAATGAGTCTCAACTTATGAAATCAAAGCAGGCAGCAAGGTTTGCCAATTTACTTCTAAACTTTAAACTTGCGTCGGATCTCACAAATAAACCCCCCGATGTCCGACACACAACAAGTGCCGGGACCTCGGCTTTCCATGGACGCCCACCTGCAGTCGATATGCAACTTTTCCACAAGCCGCAGATTAATGAACGCGCTCTTGGCCCACAACATAACTATCAGTCAAACTTTGAACGTGTCATTGTGACTACACCTCCCCAAGGTTACTTTGATCCCTTATCAGATCTTCCTACAAATGATAATATCGCCCAACGCATAGCAACCGAACATATTTTTCTTCCAACCCTCGGGACTTCCCAATCTAAACCAGGCTCAGAATTCCAAATACAACCCCAACCTGGGGCTATTGGTGGTGGCTTTGGACCTAGCATCACCACCACCACCACTACCACTACCACCCCTGCATCTACAAATAATTTCAACAATAATATTTTTCTTACTAATACCAATCAAATACCCCAAGATTTCAGTTCCCTCGAGGATTCTGTTTCTCATCAACCTGTCATTTACGTTTCTCCTGAAACCCTTTTGCGTGCCCAAAAGGCAAAAGCCATATTCGAACTAAAATATGACCTCATTTATAGCTTTCAAGGGTCAACTGTTTGGCTGGGTCAAGGTGTAGACATCCCCCGCACTGATAAAGGACTGCCAATATTTACACAGTACAACCCCCTGCAAACCATCCGTAATAGAAGATATAGACCACGCTTCACAGCCGGTGCAAATGCTTACAACAATGACAGCTATCCTTTCGATTCAGCCATCCCCTCTGAAGGCAACCGTTCCGGTGGCAGCAGCCATGGCTCTATTTCTCACTTATACCACAAGAGTGGCTCCCAAGGCCGTAAAACCAACCCAGACTTTTCCATGGCTACCTTTTTTTGGAATATTGATGTTTACGAATTATTTTCTGACTTGAACTGGCGTGTTGTCCAATACAGTCTCATGCGCGACAGATTTGGCCGCCATGTGTTCCCCAGCAGCGAGCCTGATGTGCCAGATAATTCCATATATGGAAATGGCACTTCTAGAATAGATTATGTTGGTGATCAACCCAAACTTAGCCAAATGGCATCCGCAGCAGAAGATCTTGCCTTTGAGTCTTCCTTAACTAAGCTCGGTGACGATCTCGAAACACGTACAAACTCTTTAGCAGTACCCCCTCCTGTCGCTCCAGCTACTGCTTCTCATCATCTTATTCATCATCATCACCATTACAGCTACCATCCAAGTACCAGTAGCAGTAGCAACCACCATTTACCCTTACACAAACCCGTGCTTTCTAAAATCCAGGATAAGCTACGGCAAAACTTTTCCAGTAATAGTAGTCCTGCTCTCAGTAATACCACCACCACCACAACCACCAATACCACTCCACAAAATAATGAAGGCACTGGACTTAATGGCTCCAAGGCATCTGAAGTTCACAATAAACAAGAAAGAATACCTACTATTCCTATTATCCCCGTTGGTATCACCAATGTCCCTGCATCTGCCTCTGCTGGAACAGAGGTTGCTCTTATTACAGCATCTACTACTGCAGCCTCAGTTGCACTTAGTACTGCAACTGCTCTTGCAAATCCATCAGCAGCAGTAACAACAACACCTACAACAATACCTACAGAAGCCACCGCTCCACCAAGACCTTCTCGGGGAACTACACCTATAATAATATCTGATTCCGTTTCGCATCTTCGAGGTAAAAACGTTACTCCTGAAGTCTCAGAAGTTGCTGGCATCTCGCCATTACTGTCCAAGAAACTTCCTCAACAGAGTTCATCACCAAATCTCGGCCAACACATGACGGCAGCTGCTGCAGCAGCAAATATCCCCAAAAACCCGTCCAAACTTAGCAATAATACACTAGCAACAGAAGAAATTAAACGACGCCACTCCATGTTTCCTGGAAACTCGGATGCTATTTTCCCTGAACAGCTCAAAACTCCTAAAGACATACACATTGAAAGCGTGAGACAACGCCTTCAAGAACAATCTGCATTAAACAATACAATTTCTGCCCCTGACAGCTCAGTCATGCCATCGCTGACACAGCCTTTAACACCTGTGCTACTGGTTAATGACAAAAAAATCGAAAGCTCTACACCTGAGTCTTCCTTGTACAAAAAGGACACTAGCTCTTCCAATGCTCTTGATTCTAATAAAATCCCCGAGATTTACATCTCCGAACCTGTGAATGGTAGTGATGAAGGAAGTACAAGCACTTCTGGGAGTGTTCTTTTGCGCCCGCTAAGCAACAGCCCTAATAATTCAGGTATGATGACTTCTCTGGCAAAAACACCGACCCCAAGCAGTTCTCAGATTGCGCGCAAAAAGAAGATGACGAAACAAGAGCAGCGCCAGATTATGGAGCAGCACAAGGAGCAGATTTTGCAAATGTACTCTTCTGAACTTAGTTTTTTGGAGCTTGTGTTTTTGTTACGTTACATTTCAATCACCCATTATATGGAGAACTTTAACAAGGGTCAAAGCACTAAACCCATGGGGTTAATCTATGGAAACATTCACGGGAAGGGTGATGATTCTGCCCTGGGCACCCCATCTGATGATTTGTCTAACGTGACACCCCCTGGAAGCAGCAGTACTAGTAGCAGTACTACTAATGGAGGCGTAAACAACTTGAGTGTTTCATCAATCAATGGAGCCTCATCTTTATCAATGCGCAAACTGGTACCAACCCCAATTGGAACTAGTAGTAGCACTGCTTCTAGTACAACCACAGTTACACCTGCGCCTTCACTCATGCCCTCTGTTTCTAAAAGTAAGTTCCCGGGTCCTCCAGGAGCTGCTGCTGTAGCTGCAGCCACAGCAGCAGGCCACAAACCAGCAGCTACAGCAGTTACAGCAGCCGCGGCATCAACAACAGGAGTAGCAGGAGTGATGCCGGCAGCCACAATGCCCAACATTTCGAGTGAAACGGCACATGCCATGAGTCTCGGACAACCGTTAATGATTCCTGCTGCGGTCCAAGAGCGTGAGGCTCGACAACTTGTAGAGGACATTATGGATACAGCATCGACTGCATCAAAAGACACATTACCACGCGTGCGTTCTGCACTCTCTGAGTTTGAGTCTCAAATGTCAACAGCGCGGCGCACACGTATCTCTGCCACATCCACACGACTCGACAACTTACTTGCACATTCTGACCAAACACTGAATCGGTTGTCGACGACACTTGCAATAGAAGTTAAAAAGGTGACGGAACGCATGGACAATCTTGAGCGCAGCCTTGGTCCCGGAGGCGGGCTGTTTGGTTGGCTCGGGATTCTGGGGTCGCCGTACCCGCGCAGGTTTTTGGAGGGTAGTTCAAAGCCTGGCCGTAGTCGACTAAGGCGACGTAATCGGCGCAGTAACAAGGCAAGTACGAATGGAATTGGTACAAGTATTGGTGTTGGTGACAGTGGTGGGAGTGAGGGAGGGAAATCCGGGAAAAAACGTGGTAGTAGGAAGAGCAGTAATAGCAGTGGCAAGAATGGCAGCAACAGTAGTAGCAGTAGCAGTAGCAGCATTATGAACGGTAAAACAAATGGGAACTTTGGAGTGGAGGAAGAGGAAGACTACGTGGATGAGGAAGATGATGAAGAAGATGAAGATGAAGAAGATGAAGATGAAGAAGAAGAAGATGAAGAAGATGAAGAGGAAGAAGAAGAACTTGATTTGGCTGGGAGATCTGCAAGCAAAGCGTTCCGAGTGTTTTCTGGAGGCCCACGTACAAGAATTGCAACACCAAGTATGACAACACGGATCGGGTACGTGATGCTAGAATACACGTTGGTAATGCTCATGTGGATCATTTGGGGGTTTGTTGCCATTATGCTGCGTATTAAAAAAGTGGCTCTTTTTTTCTGGTACATTTTCCGGTGGTTTTTTTTTTGGTGTTAAATGGAATGGAAAAAAATAACTAACTACACATGAGAGAAGATGATTCTATTTTTTTTTTTTTTTTTTTTTTTTTTTTTTCGCCTTTTGTTTTGTTTTCGTTTTTTCGTTTTTTTTGTATATTAAAAAATTTTTTTCTTTTGTTCAATTTTCACAATTCTAAACATTTTCTTTTCTTTCAAAAAAAAAAAAAAAAAAAAAAACTTCTATTCAGAATACTTCTCCATCAATGACAAGGCATACTTTGCGCGCTGCGCTACATCTAACGTGCCATCATTCATTGTTGTTTTGATTCGATCTTGAAACCCAAGCTTAGCCAGCTGCTTGACACGTTGGCGGACACTACGCTCGTGTTGCAAAGCAGCCTCGCGCTGTGCTGCAGCCGCTAAGTTTTCCTCTGTTGACGGGGCCGTCACGGCTGCCACGGTTTCTGCAGATGCGCCGGGAGGGATTTGGATCGGAACAGCCACGTATTCCTCGCAGTAAGTGAGATTGATGAGAATCCAGCAGCATGCCACCTTGACCTCGGCGGCCCGATGACGCAACAGCGGCAGTAGACGGTTCATGAGCCTTGGGTGCCCCAGAATTGTGTCTTTATATGTATCTGAGATGGCTGCCAAATGGACGAGAACATACTCGGCGGCAATCAGAATGAGCGACCGCTGGTCAAGTTTCGTTGCAAGCATAGCTGCCTGAGATGTTGATGATCCCCATCGGAACAACTCAGGCGACTGCCGTGGTAATGGCGGTAGACTCCCAGGATTGCTTGGTGGTGGCAGGTCAAATGGATTGGTTTCTAGTGCCACCTCGTAGATTGCTTGATTTGTTTTGTCGTCATTGTCGTTGTCGTCTTCCTCGTCCTGGGCTGAAGTATTGACAGACCCAGGAGTTTGGTCCAAATATTCAGGGTCTGTGTTTTCCACAATCTTGTCCTCAATCATGTTGAGGAAATTTTCGATACCAATGGAGTCGAACAGCGTAACAAGCATATCCAGGTTTTTGGAGTAAATAAAGTTACGCAAAAAACACAAAGCCTGTTCCTGAATTTGAGGTTCCTTGTCGCGACAAAGGTCCATGATATACTCAGCCGAGAGTCCATTCATGACCTCTGCTTTGCGCTCAAGGGGTAATGCGTAAATGACATGTTTTAGAGCCCACAGCGAGTTGAGTCGTAATGGAGGGTATGAGTTATGAGCTCCTTCCAAAATGAGCTCGAGGAACCCGCGTTCCACCATGGGTTCACGCAAAGCACTAAATTCCGGGATAAGGTTGCATACGGCCGCCATGACTGCAGACTTGATTCCGAGCTCATCATTCAAAGCCTGTTCTTTATCTTCAAAGTCAGGTCCGTAGAGCCGTTCGTAAGCGCGCACGACCTCATGAGGGTCCGCCTTGAGAAGGCCGTAGATACCGTCGACAATGTCGATAGTTGTGAGAGAGGTGCGGAGAAGTGAGATGCTGCGGGCGAGGGCGCGAATTAAATGGCACGAAGCAATTTTAATTTTGCGGAGACCAAACGCAGCCGCACTGATGGGATTTTCAGGCTTGGCAAGCATAAATTGGAGCATTGGAATGAGGACGCCAGTGAGAATGACTTGCTGGCGAAAGATATGGTCATGAAGAGACATTGCAGCTAGACCTAAAAGACATTCGGAAATGAGCTCTGAGTTGGTCCAGTTGACAGTGTCTGCAGTTTTGATAATGTCAGCCAGCCGCTTGATGACGCCGGCCTCCAGGGCCAGAATAGAGATGGCCTTGTCATCACGGCAAAGGATGGCAAAAGTGCGAAATACTCGGGTATTTGGAGGGGAAGAAGAAGGTATCAGGCCGATATCGGAGGAGGTATTTGTCGACAAGGTTGCATTACCTTGGTCCAAAATATAAGGTATAAGGGCAGGGAGCAAAGGTTGGGAAAGACTTCGTTTTTGGGCCGGGTCAGTGGCGTAGTATTGGAGTTTTGTGAGGGCGGCAATGGCAGCGACATTGACACCGGCAGAGGGGTTACGGGTGAGTCTCAGTAGGGAAGCAATGAACTGTGTTGGAGTAAAGTATCCGAGGATTTTGAGGGCACGTTGTGAAGTTTCTGGAGATTTGTCTGCGTTGAGTAAGAAGAGGGCTTGGTCTGCTGTAAGGATATGGGAAAATGCAAAGAGGGCAGATTCAAGGAAAAAGGCGACTACGGTGAGATGGGATTTCTTTGCGAGAGCTTCGATACGTTGGATGAGTGGGAGGGTAAGTGGAGCGAGAGCCATGATTGAAAGTTTTGTTGAACCGAGTTGGGGGATGAGGTCGCAGGTGAGGTTAAGGACATTAATGGAAGTTTTAGGGGAGTAAAGAATTGCTGATAGGGCTGGGACGAGGGTAGGGGAGCGGGAAATAACGGATGGGGAAGGACGGACTTCGAGGATGGCTGAAAGAGTACGGAGGGCGGAGGCGAGCATTTCTGGGGCCAAATCTGGGGAAAGGATTGCCACCATAGTATCGAGGACTGGGTGTTTGATGACAGCCTCGATGATTTCCTCGGTGCCTTTATTAGACTTGGAGTTAGAGTTAAATCAAGGGTAATTAATGATAAATTTTTATTTTTTTTTTTTAAATGGTTATGATAATACCGATTGCAAAACTGGCGATTGTTGTTGCAGCTTCAACACGATTTGGAAGCGGGGCTGTAGGGGAGGATATGATGGATAAAAGAACTGGGATTGCATTTGTGGAGGCATGTTCTAGTTTCTCGTCATCGTGGCCAACGATTGCATTACGGAGCTGTTTGATGAGAACAAGCTGGCTGGCAGGAGAAGAAGCCTGGCTTTGGATTTGATCAGCTATTTCGCGGGGTACAATCATGGGCTGGTTTATTTTTTTTTATGTTAGTTGGTTGGTTGGTTGTTAGGAGTTTGAGGTTTGTTGAAAGGTGGTGATAATTATAAGTGGGGGGAGATGGGAGGGATGTGGAGGATGGAAGGTTTTGTGGATGGTTGTGTAGCACATTATTTTTAGGCATAAAAGGTGGGTATAGTTTTGGTGGTTGTGAAAGTGTAACAAACAGGTAACAAATATGTAATAATAATAAATGTGTAACATTAGTGTAATTAAACTGTAACAAATTTATGTATTTATGTAATTAATTACATAATGGACCCCACTTTTAAGAACCCGATACTTCGGTCCGTGGGTGATTGTGGGCATACTCAAAAGAACCGAAAGAAAACAAAAACAACTTACAAGTGAAAACAATTGTAAATGTTAAAATATAAATATTTTTCTATATAACTTAATAACTTAAAATACCAGTAAATAAATAACAAATAGAGCGTTAAACAATGAGCAAAAAAATAAAATAAAAGGAGATCGGAGCGGAACGTTGAAACTTCTTTCTATTTCAATTTTTTTTTTGTCTTCCCAAACAGACAGCCAGCATCATCAAAAAGGGTCATTTTTTGTGATTAGTTTTTTTTTTATTTTGTCGTATTAAAAAGAAGAAAAAAAAAAAAAGCCTCGGCGCTTGAGAGAAAGAGAAAGAGAGAATGTTGTGGAAATCAATACAAAAGAAGCCAAGAGCAAAAGATCTGACCAATGAAAGCATTCAAAGTGATCAATTTGATCAGAACCACCCATTATTACCATGCGGCACTACACATCACCTTAACAATTTCCTTAAATAGGTGGAAATCCGTCGTCCTCGTCGCTTATTTTTTTTGTTTTTTTTATTCAAAGTTAAGCTTAAATTCAACCTTGAATAGCTTGAAATAACAATGATTGAAGAAGAAATTAAATGTGTATTCGTAATCCTCATCTCTTATTTTTTTTTATCAACGTCGTCATCAGTCACAACGCATCTACATACACTTCTGTTAATGATGAAAGTGAAAAATTATTCATTTAAAAAAAAATATGAATCCAAGTCTTTTTTTTTTTTTTTTCAAATATTCAATTAAATCAATAAAGAAGAACAAAAAAAAAATGTCTTTACCTTCTTTTTTTGGATAATAGATAACACGATGGATACGATTTTTTTTTTTTTTTGCTTAGAGCTTGGCATATATTATATTATATCCCAAAAAAAAAAAATTCACATTTTTATTTTGTGTGGTGGCTGGCTATTAAGAATAATAATAATCATCAATCAACATTATCTTGTGACGACAACTACATAATTCCGAACGTCTATAGCCAACTTGGAAGTATTTTTGTATGGATAATGGTCTCAAAGTAAATGAAAAAATTTTTTAAAATAATAATAATAAAAAAAACAAATCTTTACAATCAAGTAACAATGCCGCCTTTCACTAAAAAAAAATAAATAACAGCCTGCCACAAAAATCAAAGCTTTTTCACACCCCGCACGGTAGCCGAGAAAAAACACCAACTTTTCTGCCTTATATACTAAAAGAGAAGCTTAACAAGTAAGTTCTTATTGAAAGTCTTCTGATCATTAATGAGGACTTTAGAACAAAAAAAAATGAAGAAATTTCATTCAAAAGCCAAGATTTAACTCGTAAAAAAATGGAAAAAAAAACAGGAGACTTCCCAAATAGGAAAGCCTGGGGTATACTCAAAAGTACTTACTATCAATCGCGGAAACAAGATCATTGCAAGCACTCTCATTGGTCTTAGACAACCGTTTATCAGATTGATCTCAAAATGATGACATTAAGGAAATAAAAAAAAAGTATAAAAACAGACATTTGTCCGCTATAAATCTAATATTTTTTCTTTCTTTCGTTTTACTTTCTATTCCTCATTAATTCATACTTGTTTTTTTTTTCCCCTTCAATTATAAACATTCCCAAAATGAAGTTCTCTGCTACCCTCATCTCTGCTGCTTCCATCCTTTTTGCTTCTTCAACATCCGCTCAGGATCACGGTGAAGAATACTCTCAAACCATGGGCCCTGTCGCCTTCCTCTGGCCCCCTGACAGAGACTGGTCTGAGAACACTGAAAATGTCGCACCCTGCGGCTCCTCAGCCCAGGTCGGTAACCGCACTACTTTCCCCCTGACTGGCGGTAAGGTTCTGCTGGTGGCCCAAGACGATGCATGGGACATTAAAGTCGCTATTTCTTTCAAGTCTAACCCTACTTCCATGAATGACTTCCAGGATTGGTTCTCCTCTAACATTACCAACGAACTCGAGGTCGCTCACTCTTGTTACTCCACCCCTAACGTTCCTTCTACCGTCAAGGCCGGTGATGTCGGTACAATCCAGCTTATCTACAATGCCATTGACGGTTCCTCCAACATTTCCCACTACGCTTGTGCAGATGTCCAGTTTGTCGATGCTGAAGACTTTGTCAACTCCGGATACTCTGCTTTCTGCTTCAATACCACTGAAAGTGAGACATCTCCTTCCGGTACTCCTGATGAGATCTCCAATGCTGCTGCTAGCTCTGTCGCTTCCTCAATTGCTTCGGCCGCTTCTACTTCTACTGCAGCTGCTTCTAAGGCTGCCTCTACCTCCTCTTCTGCAGGTGCTGCTCCTACCTTTGCTCTCTCTGGCTTTGCCATGGTTGCCGGTGCCCTTGCTGCTTTCATTTAGAGTAAAAAAAAAAGAATATAAAAGAGCTGGGAAATTTTGATTAATGACTAATGACTATATACATATTTAATTTTGGACTGGGAAATGAAAAAAAATACACTAGATTTTATAGTATAAAATATGCTTAAAAAATATGTTAAAAAAATTACTGACTAAGCCATCTGGGTGCAATTTATGAAAATCTGTTGTAACACAAGGTTGTAACCAAAATGTCAACTGCTCACACCAATTATCATCTGGTTCGATTCCATTTTCATTTTCAAAACGGAGACTCATTAAAAAAAAATAAGCAATTTAATTATATCCTGATATGATTTAATATATGAAATGATAGTTGCTATACAAATGAGTATTTTATTTTAATTAAATCTAATTTTAATTACTGTTTTTATACCGAAATTGAAATAAATGTGGTAAGTATATATCACAAGTAAGCTAATATTCAACTTCCAACTTGATTGAGATTTCAATTTAATTTTTGTTTCAGAAGGAACTATTAAAATAACTATAATTAAATAAAAAACGGTTATAAGTTTAAAGATAGAGAATAACAAGCTAAGGCTTAAAAAAGTATTTCTCTTGTTTTGTTCTAAAATAACAACATTTTCCTGCTATTTACTCTAAATCGCTGCTAATGAACATGTAAATTAGTTTAGGAAATTACTTAAATTTTTTAATTCATTTATATATTCTATTAAAATTTTTATTGAAATATTATTTTTTTATTAATAAAAAAATAGAAATATTTCTAGAACAATAAACCGTTATAACAATTTCAATATATACCTCAACTTATTTAAATTTTTCAAAATTTAAACACAATATTGGCCCAAAAAAAAGCTTACAAAACCCAATCATGATTTTAACTAAAATTAGAAAGATTTAAATATTTTTTTTTTGTTTAAATTCAATGAAATATTTATTTTTAATTTTTCAAGTTCCAATTTAATATTAATATTGCCAAAGATTCTACAATAATTACTAAAGTTGAAATCATTTAATTTAAATCCATTTAAGCTTCTAAATGCTTACCTAATCTATAAATTATACCTGTTAACGTCATACAGACATGTGCCTGCCAAAAACCCCTTCCGCCACCGGCAATTTTGGTGCTGCCTTTTGCAATCTTGCAATCACACCCAGACATTCCTATGTTGATGCCACATCACCAGGAGGGGCCCTTATTCAACATCATTGTTATCAACACTAATTAATGGTCAGTAAATCATTGAATTTTTATTTTTTTAATCAAAAAAAAAAAGAAAATTAACCATCAATTTTAGAACTCGCTATATAACCATGCGATCAAGCAGTCGCAGTCATTGCACCGCGAGCTTCAAACGTTTGCAGAATCTCCAGCTGACGCTCCTCTATCTTTACTAGGTATGTGATGATTTATTTACAATTATCAAGCCACCAGTTTATTAACTATTGGAAATAAATTGAATGGAAGAAAAAAAAAAGAAATATCTAAAATTTTTTTTTCTTCCTTTTAATTAAAAAAAAATTTTTTTCAGGTCAAATCTCTGCTTCTTTAGCTTCTCATTCACGAACTTTGGATGAGTATGCTACCTCTGCATCTCAGGAAATAGTTCCAGCAAAAAAGGAACAAGCCCATGCGCGCCTTGAAAAATTCAAATCCGATCTACACGACATGCGTGCCGAGCTCGAGCGCCTGAAAAAAGTTCGTGCAGAAAGCGTCTACGAGGCCTCGCGTTCCGAGCTTATTACGCGCCGCGTCCACGGCCATGCACGGTCTCTCAGCCAAGAAAATGGCAGTGATCCAAGCTCGCTTTCCGAAAACCCCTACACGGGACCCATCCAGCAACCCCAGTATACAGACTACTCGCGTGCAGAGGGCTTGTCGCGCGAACAAGCCACTTTGGGCCGTGTCGGTGACCAACTCGACGAGTTTCTGGAGCGCGGCAAACTTGTGCTAGAAAACCTGGGCGAGCAGCGCGAAATGCTCAAGGCTACACGCAGACGTATTTACGGTGTTGCCAATACGCTGGGCATTTCAACAGATACTATTCGTATGGTGGAGCGCAGAGCCACAGCCGACAAGCGCTTTTTCTACGGCGGCATTGTGGTGCTGTTGGTATGCTTTTACTACATTTTGCGGTGGTTTGGTTGATGGTGAGGTGGCCCTATGGTGTTAGTACTAGCTGATGATGGCTTATTTTTTTAGCCAGTGGTGAGGCTGGTTGGTATGTCTTTTTTTTTTTGTTTTTGTTTTTGGAAGGGTGTATATAATGAAATCCTTTCCAAAAGTTCAATCGGCTGTTACAGCAATATGTAACAAAAATGTAATGTAATTAAAAGTGTAACTAATTTTTAATTTTTTTTTAATTTTTTTTCTTTCTTTCGTAAACTCCGCCTCCTTTCGGGTATTTTCATCGAAAAATCTATGCTGCCAATTCGGACAAAAAAAAAAAATAAAATAAAAATAAACCACCAGCTTTTCCTACCAACTTTTTACAAACCCAACATCAATATACCCATCTTATTTTTTTCTCCCTTCGCAACTTGATTAATATACATTCAAAATCTTCAATCAAATAAACAAAACCCCTCTTTGTTTTGCATGGATATCCCCATGTCACAATCATCATCTTCCCAGAAACTTTTTAAAGTGCGCCCGCTGGCCGTCGCGCTGCTTGCTTTCTGCATCCTTTCTTCTTCTTCTTCTACACCATCTTTTCCTCCACCCGTTTTAGCCGATGCTTCCGCAGATCTTCCAGTGGCTTCATCTCAACCATTAGATGCTTCTTCTACAGATCTTCCTTCAGTTACACCTTCTCCGTCGGTTGAAATCCCAGTAAACTCTGTAGGAATGGCACCCAATAGTTTTGTAACTTCGTATACAGGCAACTCTCCATCCTCAATTCTAGGAGGTGCAGCAGCAGCAGCAGTAGTAGCAGCATTTCCACCACCAGTAGCAAACCCACAGGGCATACCATTAGCACCTATCCAACCATTTGGCCCAGGTGTAGTTCCAGGTGTAATTCCAGGTGTAGTTCCAGCAGCTTTCCAGGACCACCAAAAACAGTACACTCCAGATAGCCAAGGACTTCCACCACTGGCTCCGCAAAATCAACCACAAGCTCAAGCTCAAGCTCAAGCCCAAGCCCAAGTCGAAGCTAACTCTCAACAGCAACAGCAGCAGCAACAACCCCCACAACCATTCCAAAATGGTCCTCCAGATGCATTTCAAAATGGGCCTTTCAACGATCCACAAAATGGCCCTCCACCGTTCCAGTACCAGGGCCCCAAGGGGATCCCTCCAATCGTCCCAGCAAACATGGGGTTTGTTCTACCCTTTCAGATTGCAGCGCTTGCTCTTGTGGCCATCCCACTTCTCTTTATCCGCCGGTTTGAATCTCCTCGACGCCGCCTTTTAGTATGGTTCTTGGATCTTGGTCGCATCTTGATTGGCTATGCTGTTGCCGAAATCCTTCTTATGATTTTCCTTATCCCATACACAGCTATTGTCAACTCATATGGAGGCCCTCCACCTCCATGGCAACAAGCTGGTTGGGCTCGAAATATCACTAATTACCAACAACAGCAGCAGCAGCAGCAGCAGCAACAGCAGCAAAACCAACAGATGCAGTCTGAAAGGTGGATTCCGCCCGATGCCCGCGTCAGCACCGGTGGGTCTGGAGCCCCAGACATGTCTTTTAGCCCCATCCACGCATTACTTCGCCGGGCCATTGAACAAGTTTCGAGTGCAAACCTAACTGACCGCAATGCCAATAACGACAAGAAGTTAAACAATAGAAGAAATAACTACGGGATGCATGTCGAAACAACTTCACTCATCATTTCCCTCATAGAGGCCTTCCCTGGGTTATTTTTCATCTACGGAATATATATGGGACTGCTCTATCTAACATACCGAATTAAAATCGCCATGCTCAAGCGAAGCCAACGCATCCGGTTTGTGCGCACCAGCCTCCACGACCCAGATAATGAAGACAGCGAAGACAGCGACGAGGACATTCGAGGAGGCATGCGCCGCGCCCGCCGGACCGGGTCGACGGAATCTTTCCTAGCGCTGCGGGACGGCAGGAGCTCTCAGGCAGCTAAGGCCACTACGCCTACAGACTTGGGACTTACCAGTGGTAATTACGGATATCCTGCACGCCTCGGGTGGTTTTTCCAGCAGACTGCGCTGTTTGTGATTTCAGTGTTTGTTGTACGTATTGCAGTGTTTTTCATCTGCATTCACTACTCTGATGCCACGGAAGCTTTGCGACAGACTCTATTTGGCTGGACGTACCGCATCGAGTCTGTTGCAGGCAAGCGCTTTGTGACGATGATTTTTCTGCCTGCACTTATATACACTGCGCAGTTTGTTATTACTGATTACCTGATCAAGTATCGGTCATCAGCGGCCAAGCGTAGCTTGTTTTTCAACGTGCCGGCATACTCTTATGGTGATGATTCCAACTACACAAGCATATATCCAGATTCATATGAGTTGCAAGAGATTTCAATTCCACGACCGGATGAGGGTGACAATGAAGTTATTGTTCAGGCCACGAGCACACGTCTAAGCCCCACATGTGCTAGTGGTGGTGTCAGTAGTTCGCCGTCTACGTCACCTTCTTTGCAGCCTGCACAAGTGAGACACGGAGAAAACGATGAGGACGAGGATGAAGACAATGGATTATGGGATACTCCTACTGAGGCAGTGTCGGTGATTGGCAACAATGAGAACCCGGGACTGTGGACAAATTATGGGGGACCGGATCCTTTACGGGTGGCTCATAATTTTCATCGCTCAGTCTCTCCTAGACTAGTAGCTCATCACGAAGCTGTGGTATCTCGAACAATCCCAACAACAACAAAAACAACAGCAGCAGCAGCAGCTCCAACAGCTCCAACAGCTCCAACAGCTTCAACAGCTCCAACAGCTCCAACAGCAGAGATGGATGTTGACAATTTTGTTGCAAGTAATTCTGGAGCAGAACCGGTGCCGCGGCTTGGGCTTGTTACTGCATCATTATTAAACACTGTGGCTGCCAATGCCACTATTACTGCACGGCCATACATTTACACAGGCGTGACTACCCGTCTAAGTCCAGCTCAGCAGCAGTTTTCTTTATCGTCATCTTCATCTTCATCTTCTCTTTCAGGAAGTGACGACAATGATCCGTTTGCAGATGTGCATGCATATTCTCCTGACGAGAGTGTAGGGAGTGATGTTAGCTCAGACACAACTGGGATGAATCATGGAGAGCCAGGAACGACAAGCCTTCGAGAAGATGGAGTGTTGGGAGGAGACTCAATGGAAGACGATTCTCCGGATGGACTGCCGAGTTATGATGATAGCCAGCGACAACACAGGGAGCTGTTACGGGATCGGGCGGCGTGTGAGAGGCGGACGCGACAAATTGAGGATCTTAAGAGACGTGAAGTTGGTAGTAGTAGTCGCAGTAGCAATACTGAGAATGGATTAGGAGGGGATAATGATGAGGCAGTTGTTCCAAATGAGGATGCAAATGGTCAAGGAGATGATGGTCAGAGGACTGAAGAAAGAACTACTACTACTACTACTATACGAGAGGATAGAGATGAAAATAGAGATGTTTAGAGAGAAGAGGTTTAAAATTGAAAAAAAAAAAAATTGAAAAAATGATTTTTGTATGGTGATGATATTTGTTGTTGTTTTTGATTATTTGATGTTTTACACATTTGTTTATAGTTTCTTTTATATAAAATTTGGAATTGATGATATGAATAAACTATTTGAAGATAAAAAAATGAATGAATTAATAGATTAATGGATTAATGGATTAATGGATTTGACTTTGAAAGTTCTTTAAGAGGATTTTGAAAAGGTTTACAAGGGGGCGGGGAAGAAGAAGAAGAAGAAAAAAGTTTTTTTATTTTTATTTTTATTTTAAGGAAGAGAGTAAAGATAAACAGTGCAATGAGGATTGAAAAAAAAAAAAAAATTAAATTAAATTAAATTAAAATAAAATAAAAAGGACTGAAGACAGAAATGTAAAATAGGAATGAGTATTTTATTTTTATACTTTTTACTTTTTGCTATTTACTTTTCGCTATTTACTTTTTTTTTTTTTTGCTCTTAGAAAAGGGAAAAAGAAGATAATTAGATGATGATAGGTATCAATTGAAATTAAAGATAATAATAAATAAAAAGGAATTGAATTGAATAAGTGAATTTTTTTTTAATATTATTAGTATTTTTTTTTTTTTTTTGTATGGAATGAAAAAGATTATGATGATTATGATGATTATAATGATGATGATGAATATATATTTTTTTTAAGAATAAATTATATAATAAAAAAAAAAAACAAAACTAGTAAACTAGTTAAACAGAATAAATAATTATTTATAACATGATTTATATTTTATTTTATTTTATTTTATTTTGATAGATGGTTTATACTAATTAGTAGGATTAATTAAAAACAGAATGTATTTGTTTATGATTAACCGAATTTATTTTGTTTGTTTTTTTTTTTATATATAAAAAAAAAAAAAATTTAATACAATATAATAAGAAAGATTTATTCATTATAATTTATATATATTCATATATATTCATAATTATGAATATGAATAGGCATTTTCCGTGGGCTTGGAGTTTTCTTTTCAAAAAAAAAAAAAGGTGTTTATATATGAATGGATGGACTGACATAATTGCAAATATGTGAAATATTACTTGCCACAAAATGAAACTAAAATGTTTTTTTTTTTTTTTTTTTTTTTTTTTTTGAAAATATAAACGAGTAGGAGAGTTATTTGGGTAGTTTGAGTTAAAAAGATATAATTATATTATTATTATTATTATTATTATTATTATTATTATTATTTTTTTTTTTTTTTAGAATAATAATAATATTTTTAATTTATCTATAGAAATTATTGATTGATTTGATTTTTAGTAACCGATCCTCGCATTTTTCAAAACATCATCATCATCATCATCATCATCATAATTATGATTATTTAATTACAATTAAATATTTATAAATTAAATAAAAATAAAAAAATAAAAATAAAAAAATAAAAATATAAAAAGAAAATTTTTTTTTTCTTTCCGTCTAATAAAAATAAAAATAAAAAATAATTTCAACAATCGTGAAAGCTCAGCTTCTTAGTGAAGAGATGGATTGATGACTATCCCTTTTTTTTTATATATTTATAAATTTATAAATTTATAAATTTTTTTTTAAAATTTTTTTAAAAATAATAACAAAAATAATAATAATAAATAAATAAAACACAGAAGAAAGAAGAGATTAAAAATATATTCTAAATTTATTGAAAAAAAATTCATTCCTTTTAAATTTTTAAAAAAAAAAAAAATAATAAATAATTAGAAAGACAAAAAAGACAAGATAAATCAATTTTTTATTTATTTTATTTTATTTTATTTTTTTTTTGCACTGTCACTAAAACAAGAAGAGATAAAAAGTTTTTAAAAAAATAATCAATTCATTTTAAAAAAAAAAAAAGTTCTTTTTGAGGTAAACAAAATGTCTGTTTTTTTGTTTAAAATAAATTTTTATGAAAACCAAAGCCCATTCATTCATTCATTTTTTTTTTTTTTTTTTTTCAGCATACAAGTCAACTAAATGATCAAGTGGCCCATTAAACATCAGCCATTATTTATTTTATTTTTTTTAGGTAATCACCAAATCTTTGGAATAATTTCAATTGATTAATTCAATTGATTAATTCAATTTATATTTTTCTCATTTATTATTATTATTATTATTATTATTATTATTATTATTATTATTCAAACTTTTCATATGAGAAAATTGTTTAATAAAAGTCTATGCACTGTTTGAAAAAAAAAAAAAAAAAAAAAAAAATACAGTAACAGGTGAAAGTTTTATTTTTTATTTTTTTTGCTATTATTACTTAGTAACTACTACAATAACAAGTCAAATAAAATAAAAGATGTGTAGGTAACAAAATGTAATGGCAATGAGGACAATTTTTTACGTATGTGAGCGATGCGCCACATGTCAGCCATCCATCCATCCATCCATCAGTCAGTCAATCAATCAATTATTATTCAATAAGTCATAACTAAGAAACTACGCAAAAATCTCTCGCCACAAGAATTATTATCAAAAAAAAAAAAAAAAAAGTATAAAAAGGCTAGGAATCCCCCCCAGGTTTCAAGATTTTTCTTTTCTTTCTTTCTTTCTTCTCTTCATCAAACAATTCTCTAATTCTTTCTTCTTCTAAAGAAAACAAAAACTTCACTACACCACTTACCAATCTTACAACCTAAACCAATCACAATGCCTTGCTCCTGTTCTACTTGCTCTTGCACCTCTGGCTGCTCCAGTGGCAGCTCTTGCACCTGCTCTTCCAGCTGCTGCTCTGACAAGAAATAAGTTAACTTCATCCCATTGTAACTTATTTCTCGTTCATCAGCTTATAACAGTTTTAAATAAATAAAAAACTAAAAACTCTGGATCCAACAAAAAAAAATATTACAACTTAAAATCAACCTTACTCCTCAAAAAAAAAAACAAAAAAAGATACTCTATACGCGAGTAATACGAACGTTATGACGATGAACCTTTTTTATATATATATATACTTTAAAATTCAATAAAAAAAAACTTTGGCCAAAAAAAAAATAACAAGGGGAAAACTTCTTTTTTTTCTTTTTCTTGTTTATCAACTGGTGTATATAAAAATACCAGTGTTTTGTAGATAACAACTAATCTTTGATCTGAAGATAAGACAATAGAACAAAAAGAGGAGAAACAAAGAAAAACTTTTATCTTAAATCAATTCAATTGATTACACTAAAAGTTTTTTTTTTGTTATCAATGGATGAGATTTATTCTCTCTACTTTTCATCAAAGCCCACCGGGATTTCATATCGGAGAGAAAAAAAAAACAAAAGCAACTGTTTTTAAACTTCAATTTGATGAATTGAGTACTGGGGAAAGGTATTTTTTTATGTGTGTGTGTGTAGACAAAAAACTGGTGATTGGTTTTGTATGCAACGGCTTTGGCTTGAAAAAAAAAAAAAATTCTTTTATCAAAGAATCACGTGAAAATAATACGGCTAAATGTCTTACATAATCTTTTATAGTTAAATAATTAGCTTACCTCATCTTTACAAATTTTTTTTTTAAAATTTTTTTTTTTTTCAAACCATTAAAAGTTTTTTTTTTTTTTTTTTCCATCAGCATCAACTTTTGAAGAATCCACTTCTCACTTCTCTTTTCTTTTCCTAACTACCACCATCACCACCACCACTAACAGCATTCAAATCTCTCTCAATATTCAAATATAAAATGGTTGCTCCAACTGCAAAACTGAAAACTGAAACCTCCCAGGAACTCTCTTCCTCAGTGGCCACTCCTTCCATAATAGCTCCCAGTAAGCCTGATCAGAACGATGATGAGGTTCTGATAGAAGCTGGAAGCGTGCCAGTAAAACCAACTCAAAAGGACGATGAAGAATCAGAAAAACCCTCACAAAATGGTGATGATAACGACGAAGATGACATTATGATCTCAGCAGATGATACCAACATTAATACCACCACTTCCTCCTCTTCAACTAGCATAAATAATACCACTTCCGGTGTCACCCTGGACCAAGATGGCCGACCAAAGTTCTCCTCAGTTGAAAACTCAGGAGAAAGAGTCAAGTTCGATCAACGCAACGTGCGTGTCCCTCCCCACCGTCTAACTCCACTCAAAGAGACTTGGGTCAAGATCTACGAGCCTCTGGTCAACCACCTTAAGCTACAAGTGCGTATGGATTTGCGCAAAAAGGAGGTCCAGATTCGCACATGCAAAAAAACTACTGACCCTGGTGCCGTTCAAAAGGGTGAAGATTTCCTGCGCGCTTTTATGATTGGATTTGACATTGATGATGCCGTTGCTCTTCTTCGTCTCAATGATCTTTATACTGAAACTTTTGAAGTCAAAGATGTAAAGACTCTTACTGGTGATCATTTGTCCCGTGCAATCGGCCGTATTGCTGGTAAAGATGGTAAGACAAAATATGCAATTGAAAACGCTACTCGCACGCGTATTGTGCTTGCAAACTCAAAGATCCATATTCTCGGCGGCTTTGAAAATGTTAAGATTGCAAGAGAAACCGTGGTTTCCCTTATTCTTGGTGCTCCTCCTGGAAAGATTTACGGCAACCTTCGCATCATTTCTTCCAGACTTAAGGAGAGATATTAAAGAACAAGTAAATCCATGCTATTGCTATTGGGAATTAAGGAATTTTTTTTTTTTTGAGAATATCTTAGATAAAGTTAATTGATTAATTAAATGGGAGTTTGTAAAAATACAAAAAAAATAGAAGAATGTTTTGTTTAATTTGAAAAAAAAAAAAAAAAAATTGAGGCTGAGTTGGTAGTAAATATCAATCAAGTAAAGGTGATCATGAGACTATGGGCCATTTAGTTATGATATCTTTAGATTATTCTAACCTTGAAAATATTTAAAAAAATTTAAAATCAGAGGAATGAAAGACATCAATTCAACCACTGGCAAAGTCAATGCAGATTTTGTTTTAATTTTGGTCAATGTAATTGAGGGTATTTTCTTGGTCGATACACAAAGCTACAAACTATACTACCCAAAAGCTTATGAAAAAAAAAAAAAAAAAAGGCAACAACATTTTGAAAAATATATTTATATAGTAGTTGTGGGAAATGTTATTGAGATGGATAAAACAACTTCAGGCTTTGAAGAAAGTTTTTTGAAACTGACTTGGAAATCCCACCTTATTAAAGTTCCATTTTTAATTGGGATTTATAGACTACTGATGACTGTTAATGACTGCTAGTGGATTTTGGTGATTGCTGATGACTGTTAATGATTGCTGGTGACTACTGATGATTGTTGATGATTGCTGGTGATTGCTGCTAAAATATAATTATATGTTAGAAAATAGCATGAACTTTCTCAAAATGTAAAAGGGAAAAAATGTTGATCTCAATGTAGATCTAGAAATAAAAAATAAAAAATAAAAATAAGGATAAATAAGAATTTGTAATCATTAGTCAGAAAGTAAATTTAAACTATTCTAAAATGTGAATGAGAAAGAAAGAAAGAAAGAAAATAAGAAGTAGATTATGTAGATCTCTACATAGCCTTCCATGTATATCTTTATGTAGATCAAAAAGAAAAATAATAAAAAATGTAAAATTTATATAAAATTGATGTTGATTTACATCTTAGAAGTCTTAGACATATATGTAGTAGTAATAGTAGTATAGTAGTATAGTAGTATATAGAATAATCTAATCTAAAGCCAAACTTCCTACCAAAGTTGTGAACTCTCAACTTCAGGTCACGTGGTACTTCTCTGACCCATTTTGAGCCCTTCACCACCGGTTTTTTTTTTTATGTTTTTGTTAATGCCGCCTACAACAATTCTAACCAGCCGCCACCACTCTTGAGGATCATCACATCCTCAATTTGACTCTTTTTTTTTTTTTTTTTTTTTTCAACTTCCCTTATTAATTATTAGGATTATAATCCTTTATATTTCATTTCATTAATTTAATATAAAGTTTTATGCCCCTTTTTTGGCCGTCTATTAGACTGTTACATAGATCTTGTCTAGAGCCTGTTGCGCGCCTCCCAAACATTCCCTATATAAATACAACCTCTCATCCTTTTTATTCTACCCTTTTTTCTACCATTCATTCCTATCACTTAAAAACTCCTATAAACATGTCTTCCTCTCACCCTTTAAAGCTTATCCAAGACATTAAGCTTACTTATTCGCCCTCCCGTGTCTTTGTATGGCGCTCGGAACGCACCGGCCTCCAGTCGGTTCTTATCCAGCAAAGCAGTACCATGGTCCGTGGCCACTTTGCAGTTGGTTCTGAGATTCACAATGACAGCGGATGCCCCCATACTCTTGAACACTTGGTCTTTATGGGCTCCAAGAAGTATCCCTACAAGGGTCTGCTTGACATTTTGGGCAACAAGATGATGTCTGAAACAAATGCTTGGACTGCCGTCGACCAAACTGTTTACACAATCTCCACAGTAGGCTGGGAAGCCTTTAGTGTCTTGCTCCCTGTTTACATTGACCACATTATAAACCCAACCATTACTGATAGTGCTTGCACTACAGAAGTTTATTATCTTGATGGTAATGGCGAAGACCGCGGCGTAGTATTTTCCGAAATGCAAGGCATTGAGAACACTGCTTCATCCATTGAAGAGCTTGAAACTCAAAAACTCTTGTTCGGTTCCAAGAGTGCATTTTCCAGTGAAACTGGTGGTCTCATGGCTGCCCTTCGTGTCCTTTCACATGACCAGATTCGCCAATTCCACAAGGACATTTACCGCCCAGATAACCTCTCCATCATTGTTTCTGGCGACATTGATCCAAAAGAATTTGCTGCTGTTGTCCAAGCTATTGACGACTCGATGCCTGCTCTTGACAAGTCTCATCCTCATCCTAGACCCTTTGTCGATACTGAACCTTCAAGCTACCCTAGCAAGAAGGTTGTCAAAACTGTCGAGTTCCCGGAAACTGATGAAACTTTTGGTGAAATTTCCATCTCTTGGATTGGCCCCAAAGTTCATGAAACTATTGAAAGCACAGCTATTGACATCATTCTCAAATATCTTACCTTGGAAGGAATCGGTATTCTTTGCAAAGAGATTGTCGACATTCCTGATCCTCTTGCCACAGACGTTTATTTTGATGAAACCTATTATCTTAACCAGCAAATCAACATTTCTCTTTCTAACGTTGCAACTGAAAACCTCCAGCTAGTTTTTGAAAAAGCTGAAGCCATTATTGCCAAAGTGGTGACTGACGAAAAGTACTTTGACTTGAAGCATGTACAAGAACTTGTGGAACGCACAAAGTACAAGGATATTAAGGCGTCTGAACTTAGCTCAAGCGAACTTGTTGATACTACCATTGTGGCCTTTTTGTATGGTAGCCTCGACGGCAAGTCACTACGCCAGTGGATCATTGACGTGAAAGACTACGACGTGCTCTTGGAATGGACTGCTGAGCAATGGAAAGCTGTCGTCAAAAAGTATCTGGTTGACAACCCACTAGTTGCCGTGTTAGCCAAACCCTCAAAGGTTCTCTCCAAGAGCATCAAGAAGGAAACAGCCAACAGAATTGCTGCAAATAAAGAAAAGTATGGCCCCGACGGCCTTGCAGCTCTGCAAGCAAAAGCTGATGCCGCCCAAGCCGAAAACAATAAGCCTGTACCGGAATCGGTCTTGAAGCAGTTTAAAGCCCCTGACTTGACAAAGATCAAGTTTATTGATACCACTATGGCCAAGGCTGGCACGGCACTCAAGGATGAAGAGCAATTCCCAAGCAAGGTCCAGACTATTGTTTCCAAAAATACCCCCAAGGAGGATCATTTCCCCCTTTATGTCACGTTTGAAGACTATGAAAGTCAGTTTGTCACTCTTAACATTTATTTATCTACGCGTGAGGTTGACACAGAGCTGCTGCCGTACGTTCAAGTGTTTTTCACTGAGTTGTTCACCCTTCCCATCTTGTTGGAAGATGGCGTGACACACCTCTCCTTAGAAGATACTATCCGTCAGCTCAAGTCGGATACTCTCAAGGCTTCTGCAAGTCTTGGTAGCGGTAGTAATGGCTTTGAAGACTTGTTTTGCGTTTCCATTCAAGCTCGCGCAGACAAATATGCAGACGCAGTCAAGTGGGCTCACCGTGCACTCTCTCTCACGCAGTTTACTGACGACCGTATTTCCGTTCTTTTGGATAAACACATTAATCGTCTTGCAGAGTATAAGCGATACGGTAGCTATGCACTAAACTCGTCTGTTGAGACCACTATGCACACGCCTCGATCCATGCGCTATGCAAGCGACTTGCTAATTACCGAGGAGCGTTTCAAGAAGCTGCAGGAGGACCACATTCCAGGTGAGGTGATTCGCAAGGATTTGGAGAAGATTCGCTCGCAACTTGTTGCCCCTCACAATATGCGCATTTTCATTTCTGGCCAAGTATCTAACCTCAAGGATCCTGTAAAGACTTTAGAAAAGTTTTTGGATGTGTCTAGTGCCAAAAAGGATGTTGCCCCACTCACTGCTGTTCCTTCTGATTCTGATACTTGCGCATACAAGGGCAAGGACATTGCCAAGCTTGCTAAAATCACCTCCATGCCTTCTACTGAATCGTCATACGCAACTGTTGTTTGTCCCGGTATAAATGGATTTAAGCATGAAGACCTTCCTGCTTTGTACACTGCTGTTGAATACTTGAATGCTGTTGAGGGTCCTATTTGGCGAGGCGTTCGCGGTGCCGGCTATGCATATGGCGCTAATATTTCGGCTCTCCCAGAAGTTGGTCATATTCACTTGCAAGTGTACCGCGGTGCCGATACTCCCAAGGCTGTTCAAACTTGCAAGAAGCTTGTTTCTGACTTTGTGACTGGGGAAACTCCTCTTGAATCTTTGCATTTGGAGGGTGCCAAAAACATGGTTGCCCACAATTTTGCCTCATCGCGTCAAAACTCGAGCTCTGCGGCTCTGCTCAGCTATATAGATTACACTTTCAAGGGTCTTGTACGCAATAACCCACAAGAAGTGCTGAAGAAGGTGGCTCATGAAGTGACTGCTGAAAAGGTACGCGAGGTCATGGAGAAGTACTTTTTGCCGCTATTTGACCCCAAAACTTCAATGGTGTTTGTTGCATGCCACTCGTCAATGACTGACGACGTTCTTAAGAAGTTTGAGGCCGATGGCTATGAGGTTTCTGTCAAAACGCTTGCCACGTCAACAAGTTTGGCCCCATATGGTTCTGATCAATCTGGTTCTGAGGATGAGGATAAGGAAGAAGAAGAAGACGAAGAAGAATCTGATGAGGAATAAAGAAGAAGAAGTAGTAGTACTTAACCTTGACGGTTGCAACAGGTTATTAGAGAGTATATTTGCAGTTACTTTGTATTTTGTAAAAACCATTATATAAATTACAGTCAACTTTAAAACATTATGTAATCATTTTAATTTTAAATTATTAATTTAATAAGAAAATAGTAAAACCACCTTTTTTTTTTTTTTTTTTTTTTTTTAGATTTTAGGATTTATTTCTACCATACCTCCTCCTCTACCCATCATGTATCGTCGAAACTTTGCAAAAGCTGCAGAGCCACTGACGGCTGAGCAGCTCGAGAAGCAAATTGAAGAAAAAACAGCTTTGCTGAAAGGTCTTCAGGACGAGTATGCTGATATTACTAAGGATTTAACGTGAGTAGAATCTTTTATCAAACCTGAAATTCCTTTTCTTCTTCTTCTTCTCTAATCACTTTTCTAACCACTTGATTTTTTATTTTTTATTTTTTATTTTTTTTACTTTAGCGAGGATCCTAAAAAGATTGTAGACCGTCACATTGCGGCCCTGAAAAAGTATAATGAAATCAAAGACGTGGCACTAGGATTTGCGTCCAAAATTGCGGACCAAAAACGACAAACTATTGCCGAAGTGCTTCAGGAAATGGGAGCAAATGTAACTCAGTAGAAAAAAAAATCAAAAAAAAAATTAAAAAAAAAATTAAAATACACACTTTTTCTAAATTCCTCGCCGCTGCACCTGCACCAGCTCATAAAACTTGCCACGGCGTGCCATCAAATCAGCCCGTAACCCTTGCTCTACCACTCGTCCCTTCTCCATTACAATAACACGGTCTGCACCTGCTACCATGGCTGTACGCGAGGCCACCACTAAAGTTGTACGTCCTCGCGCCGCACTTTCAACTGCACGCCGCACGGCCTCAATTTCATCAACAGCCATCGCCGTTTGACCATATGCCGCCAACACATCGTCCACAAGAAGAACGGTGGGTTCACGTAGAATTGCGCGTGCAAGGGCAATCCGGATCTTCTGACTTGCCCGGTAAACAACGCCTCCTCTAGTATTGTAGCCTTCAGGAAGACTGGCAATAAAATCATGGATCTGGGCCGTTTTGCAAGCCCGTACCAAAACACACTCATCCAATACCTCATCTCCCCACCCAAGCATAATATTCTCACGAACACTCAATCCGTCAACAAATGTGGCTTGTGCATTCACATACCCAATCGCTTGCCGGTAGCTCGCAAGGTTTAACAGCTTAATGTCAATTCCGTCCATGTAGATGTGGCCGCGCTGCGGCACGTAGAATAACTCAATGAGCTCAAGGATCGCCGGTTTGTCGCAGGATCCCTCGTGCCCTACAATTCCAACTAGTTCCCTGGCCTCTGTTTTAAAGTTGACATTCTGCAACACTGTATATTCTGGCTGGAATGCGTACCGGAACTGAACGTTACGGAACTCGATTTCTCCTTGTACAATGTCATCTTCTGACACACCATACGTTCGTCTCCCTCCAGGCTCTTGGCTTTTTGTGATGATCAAACCATCAGTCGAACACTCATCCATTTCTGGGATTGTTACAAGTAGACGTGAGATGCTGGCAGTAGCTTCCTGAGCCAAATTGGTTTCGGAGCCAAAACTGAAGATGGTTTGCACGGCCTGTGCGCTAATGACAAGTGAAATGAATGACACGTAAAACTGATAAATGGAAATCTTATTTACAAGAAGTAGCTTGCTTCCGTGCCACATTTGAAGACCAAGACATAGTGGTGTAGTGCCTTGTGAAACAGCATACAAAATTGCAGTCAGCATGCTCCACCCTTGGTGCCTGTGCATTTTGTTATTAATCTCTGTATCATAGTACTCAATAACTTCACGTTCACGGCACAATGCTGCCACTTCCCGTACCGAAGACACCATCTCAGAAGCATAATTTGCTGAAGATTCATATGCTCCTTTAGCTTTGCTTTGAAACTTTGTGTAAATGTGGTGACGCAGGTAGTTACTTGCAATCATGATGGGGACAAGACAAACTGCCACCAAACCCAACCTCCAATCTGCAGCAAGAACAATAAAGATGGAAACGTAGATGGCTACGGAGGAGTCCTGGATAACCCCAAGAGCCTGACCAGTTATATTTTTGAGTCTACTTGCTTCGTCGAGCAACATGAGGGTGAGTGACTCGCTGCCTGCACGATCGCTGTCAAAAAACTCAATATCCATGCGCAAAACGTGTCTGAAAATGGTGTAGCGCAGCTTGCGCACAAGCTTATCACCTGCGCGGCCCATGAAAAAAAAAGCAAGAAGTATGAAAATAGCTGGATACCGGCCAAAATAACCACGTACCCGGAGTACGACTTGAGTTCCCGTTTAGTTTGAATAAAATCGCTTTCTGGGGAAATGATGGTTTCCATGCACCGCGCAAAAAAAACAGAAATCGTGGGGTAAGACACACCACAGATAGTCGCAGCCATGGCTCCAATAAACAAATCCAGGTGGGCTTCCTTGTTAATTCGAATGAGCTAATAATAAAACGTTAGTAAAAAAAGCTTTTAAAAATATTAAGAGTATACTCACCATTCCAACTAGAGACACAAGAGACATCTCCTGAGTACAGGTTGCAGATTCTTCGTATTGTTTCTCAGACTTGGTCGTGCTATTTTTCAAAGTTTCTTGTGATGGCGGCGAAGGTATTTGAGCGTGCCTTATTTCGTACTGGAGATTCGATGCATTGCTTCTTGAAGAAGTCACAGATCTTTCAGCCGATTGTCGCTCACGGTTAAACATGAGCACGGGCTCATTGCATCGGTAATTAAGGTAAGCTTCATCAAGCCGCTCATTAGTAACAAACTTTGCGTACCACTGGTTGTTGGCCATAAGCTCTGCGTGCGTTCCCTGCTCGGCTATGCGGCCATCCAAAATAACAACCACCCGATCAGCCCGCAGAATTGTAGACAATTTGCTAGAAACCATCAGGCTTGTGAATTGGCGTGAGTTCCGTGAAAGCCACTTGCCAATAAACTCTTCGCTGCGCTCTGTCAACGCGGAAAGGGCTTCATCCATGAGCAGAATCTTGGGTTGTGAAATAACAACACGAGCAAGTGCAATTCTTTGGCGTTGCCCAGTTGTAAGATTACATCCACGATCTCCAACTTGGAAATCAAGTCCAGAGTCTAAAGCAAGGATAAACCCCCAAGCATTGACTTCGCAACAAGCACGTTTGACCATTTCTGTTTTTGTTTTACGGTCACGGTGTTCGTGGCGCGTGCCATTGAGGCCCTGAACAATGTTTTCATAAATGGTACCGCTAAATAGTAAAGCTTCTTGCGTCACAATAGCAATCTGCTGACGCAACGAGTGTACCTTTATGTCCTTAATATCTATATCGTCTATCAAAATTGATCCAAAAACTGGTTCATAATACCGTTCAAGGAGACTTAATAGAGCAGATTTTCCTGAGCCTGGAGGGCCAACAAGAGCCACTGTTTCTCCAGCATTAATGACAAGATTAATATCGTCAAGAACTATTTTTGAAGGTGATGTTGGGTAGCGTAATCGAACATCGCGAAACTCAATGCGGCCATTGAAATCATAGAGAGTTTCCCCAGAGTCTGAAAATGGGTTAATTACAGATTCGCGGTCAATTGTTTCAAAAATACTGCGTGCGGCGTCATTCCCCACACGAAATGAATGTACCACGGGGAGCAAACTGCTAAGTGAGAACCCAGCAATCATGAGCGAAATTATAGCAGTAAGTAGATCGCCTACATTAATATTATCATTCTCAACCTCATTAAAACCTTTCCAAAAAGCCAATGCATAAGCAGAGAAAATGACAAACCACATAAACCCAATTATAAAAGCATAGAGACAGATCTGAGATTCAGATGGATGTGAGGCTCTCATTAAGTGATTATAAAACCTTTGGGCGTGGAAATTAGAAGTCCCCAAAGCAGTTGTTGTATGAATTGAAGTGATAGTTTCTGAAACCACGTTTCTACCCTCTGATAGTTCAAGGTTGATGCTATTTTCGCGGGCGCGGATATACGTCATTCCAATAAGATATACTATTAAAATAGAACTGAGTAGCGCAACAACCGTTATTGAAATACTCCATGAGGCTGTAAACCCAATGATTGTAGATGACATAAACGCGGCAATGTTTGTAACGGCAAGACCGGAGTTTTCTGAAATGTCTTCCTGGATTAGCTGGATATCTGAGTGAAATCTGCGCGCGATTTCAGCATGACCCAGATAATCAAAGTATGCAATGTTTTGCTGAAACACGGCTCGCAGAAAATGTTTGCGGATCCGTGACGTGAGTACCTCTCCACGGTTGAGCAAAATATAAAACGCAGCATACGAAAACACGCCAATAGATGTCCCAATGTAAACATACTGGAGCGTCACACGACGCAAGGTGGCCTCGTACTCGTCGGCCTTAATTTCATTATTTATAAATTGGCAAAAGGCATTTGTGACGGTGCCTGCAAAGTAATTTGTGAGAGGCAGAGCCGCACCTGCCACAGCCTGTGCAGTGTAAGCCAAACACAAAATGATCCAGTCCTTGACTGTTGCATACCTAAACACTGTCAATGCGCCCACGGGAGTTTTTGGCGTACTAATTTGCCGATACAGCGTGAGCAATTCTGCGCGGGGGATATCTGGATGGCTGGTGGCCCCTGTTGTCAAATCTGTGTCTTCATCAGGATCACTCATGACACTTGCAGAGCTGAATGCGCGACGATGACTCTGGCGCACACCACGGCTTCGGCTTCGAGACATGCGCACACCTGACGTACTTGTGCTTCCGGAAGTACCGCTGCGACGCATGCGTGTAGAACTGTGCCGTGACACTCTTGTGCTGGTCCCTGGCTCGGTGTCTACTTCAATTTCAAAGCAATGGATTTGAACATTGTCATCACTTCTAGGTTTTGGAGGAGTCTGAATTTGCACAGATGGAGATTGGGATGGGAAAACAAAAGAATTTGTTTCTGCATACTCGGGTCCAGTAGTAGAATCAAGAGTACTTCTGTGAATCATAATTGAGGGGATGGGACCGTGGTCATGAGGCTGGGATGTTTGAAGTTCAGGCCGGTCAATTTGGTCCTGGTACATTTGCAAAAGATCGACAGGTCGATTTGATGACGATCCCACAATGGCACTCACTGGTCTTGAATGGGAGTTGTAATAAGTTGCGTTTTTGTCGCTGAGGAGGGTACTGCTAAGGCTTCTTGAGAATCGGCGGCGTTCAGAGGGCGCTCTGCTTGGGGACAGACCACTCAAGGATGAAGGTGGTGTGCCATCGGGATTGGGATTCTGTGAGCTGGGCATGGTGCCTGAAACATTGAAGCTGGCTGCTGAGAGTGGAGTTGCTGCGGAATTATGGGACGGAGATAGAAAACCTAAGAAACTGTTGCGAGAAGAAGGTTCCAGGGGGAGAGAGTTTGAAGATTGAGGGGTATCTGCAAACGAATTGTTAGAGAGATGAGAGAAGGATTTATTTTCATTCAGAGAGTTTTCAAAATCGGGTGCCATGGTCGGACCGGGACGTATATATACGAATTTTTTTTAGTGCAATCTTGATAAATTCAAGGTTATTTACAGGAGAGAGAAATATGTGCTTTTTTTTTAATCAAAGATCAACAGCTTGAATGATATAATTAGACAAGAATGCGGGAAACTGGACAAAATAGAAATGAAAAAAAAGATCAAAAGTTGTTTGGTATTTTTGGTACAAGTGTTTTCAAAAAAAAAAAAAAAAAAAAAAAAAAAGAACAGACAGGTTTCAAGATTTAATTTCGTCATTTTACGTTAATAATTAAAAAAAAAATAAAAGGACAAGAAACTCAAACATCATGCAAAATAAGTTTCTCTCAGATCGTTTGATTATTATAAATTTTAAAACCAGGTTATCGCGTTTTTTCCCCTCCAATAATTAACTTTAGATTACGCTAATCTGTTTAGCTTTTTTTTATATATATATATATATATATTTATTCTTCTTCTAGATGGGTTCATTAAAGTAAGAAAAAGGGTAACGGCAACGGTAACAAGTTTTATTCTGGTCCAAATAGGCTCTTTGCCTTAAAATGGTATTTTTAATAAATTTTTAATACAAAGACAAAAAAAAAAAAATTCAACAAAAAAGGGAGGGAAAAAAAAAGAAAAGAAACTTCATTACTATTGAAAGAAAGAAAGAAAAAAACACAAAAACAGTTAAAGAGGGGCGTAGAGAATCTGGGTGACATATTTGCGGGAGTATCTGGAGATGCTTGCAACAGCCAGAACATTATGTTTGATGGAGGTTGTGGCCAGATGATTGAGCACAACATGGTTGGGAATGGGCAGGACGGAATTATTGTCCTTTTCATTTGAGTTTGAGTTTAGAATGACGCTTTCCAGATGCGGCGGAAGCTGCGGCGGTGTGACAAAGTCCGATGACACAAACTGTTCCATGGCCTCAGGGTCTGTAAAAACAGCAGGGATTTCGCTCGTAAATTTGTATACAGGATCGGCTGGAAGTTCTTCTTGGAACCGTTCGTAGCCACCACCATTGAGCAGCTCATCATCCTTAGACATGTCATAATCAGCAACTTTTTCAGCAGTCGTTGCTCGTTGTAGTGTAGCGCGTGGGGGTTGTTGTTCTTCAGGGTAGCTTTGGTATTCTAGATAAGCATCGTGGCTAGTGACACGATGTATAGGCTCCATGCTTTCATCAGCTTGTTGGTTGCCATAATCAGGGTATTGTTGGCCTTGTGCCAGAGCTTGTTGTGGAGGCTGCAGTGGTTGTAGTTGCTGAGAAGTGACAAGTTCCGTGGGAACTTCAATGTAATTGACAAGATTTCCCATGGAATCTGTAGCAGAGGGTAGGTAGTCTGAGCACCGCAGTTCATTGTCAACGACAAAGCGCATACGATGAGTGCCATTGGGGAGTTTGAGCACGATAGAAAATGTATTGTCAGGTCTAAAAAAAAAAGAAGGGTTAGAAATAAGAAATAATGGATGGGCATAAATATATCCATTTTATATACATACTGTCGGTTTAGTTTAATCATTTTACGCCAGCCCGTAAAAGAACCAGTCACGTAGACTTTATTACCACCTTGTTGCCAGGTAATTACGGTATCATATTTGTCTTCGGCCAAGCGGTTACGAGCTAGACAAAAAAGTTAGTATTCAAGGGGATGGAATGAGGGGGGAGAAAAAAAAACAAGACCAATAGTGGGTCAGTCTAGTAGGGGGAAAAGAAAATTACTTACCCACAGAGTCATCGCCCAACTGGATTTCGTCGCCAGAGCCTGCTCGCGACAGGGGTTTTCCGACGGGCTCGCCAGTGGCAATGTTAAGTTTGTTAAAGTCCATATCCTCATCAATCTCAGGCTCGTTTTCAGCGTCGAGTAGAAGAGTGGATTTACGGCGTACAGGAGCAGGCCGTGGGTGGTGTCCATCAGGAGTCGCTGCCGCAGCAGTAGCATCCGCAGCAGGAGTGAGGCCATTCATGGTGGTTCTATGGGAAAAGTTTGAAGGGGTATTGGTGGGGGTGATGGTGGTGGTGGTATTGTTGTTGTTTTTGTTGTTGGATGAAGATGAAGATGTGGTGGTCGTCGTCGTGGCGGTTGTGTGAGAGGAGGTGGCAGCATCAGTGGTGGTGGTTGCAGCACCAGAAAGTTTGGATGGTGGTGGTGGTGGTGCAGGAAAGGTGTCCAGGGTTTGGGTTTCCGTGGGTGAGTAAAGATTTTGGTGGTGGTTGTGGTGGTGGTGATGCTGCAGCTCATCTTCAGGGTGTAACGGCCGCACAGCGACACCGGTCGCCGGTTTCGACTTTGGAGACGTTTCAGGTGAACCGCCCGTTCCTCCTGTAGCAGACGAGAAAGAAGTATCATGAGAATCCATATGAGCATTGGCCAATGCATGTTCAAGGTGCTCGACATCGGAGGAAGCATGTACAGCAGCAGCAGCAGCAGCAGTAGTAGTAGTAGTAGTAGTAGTACTGGAGGACGTTGTTGGAGTGGTTGCTGCTGTGGTACCCGGGCCCGAAGAAGTTTCCAGAGAAGCCGGAGAAACTGGAGACGCGGGGCTTTTTGATGGGGATCTATGACTCGCCGAGTGACTATGGCTTAGACCGAGGTGACTACCCGGGACGCCATCTTGCGACGAAGAGTTGCCCATTGTGAAAAGATTTACAGAGTCAAGAAGTAGGCTTTGTTTTTTTTTTGGGTTTGGATGGTAAAGAATGGGGGAGGGAAGGAAAAAAAAAAAAAAAAAAAAAAAAAAGTTTGTGTGTGTTTGTTTGAATGTGTGGGTTTTTTATAAATTTTTTAGTATATATATATATATACTATATATATATATATATTTTTTTTTTTTTTGAATTTTTAATAAAGACTAAACTAAAATACACGTTTAGAAACATCATCTCTTCCCCCCCCTCAAAATATAAATAAAAAAAAATAAATTATATAATAATAAAAAAAAAAGTTTCAAAATGGAAAAACAATTAAAAGACTTTTTTTTTTTTATACAAAAGAGATTCATGAAAAGGAGAAGAATTATATATATAAATCAAATATTTACAGAGAAAAAACACACACACATACAAAGAAAACGTTTCTAACCACGAAGAACTTCGCCCTTCTTGACAGTCTTGCCCTTGAACTTGTCAGAAACAGATGGAGCGCGCTTCTTGATAAAAACCTTTTCATTAGCAGCAAGACGATCAGCTTCAGCACGGACCTTGGCTTCTTGTTCTTGCTCACGAGCCATCTTCTCTGCACGATCCTTAGCCTTCTGGAAAGTTTGCTTGATCTGATCAAGAGCAGACATATTCTCAGTGGTAGGATCAAGCTTGGGGTGGACAATAGGATGCAGACCAAGGAACTTACGGGCTGTAGGAGATTTCAAAAGAAGAGTCTGGCCAACAGAAAGAACTGAGTTGGTGGCAAAGTATAAACAAGTGGCAGCAGGAACGCCCATGGTCATAGGAACAGCAATAAAGGGCATGTAGGTGAAAATCTTCTTCATACCAGGGGACATGGGTGAAGCACCAGTCTCACCACCCATCTTGATGGTAGCAGCATAAACAACAGCAGTGATGACTTGCAGACCAAGGTAAGGATCAGCAGCAGTCAAATCAGGGAACCAATATAAACCTTGATCCATCATACCGTAAACCTTAGCAGCACACATGCGATTGAGACCAGAGAAAATACCAATAAAGAAGGGAATACTAAACATGGGCATCATAAGGTAAAGAGTCTTAACACCGGAATCCTGCATAAGCTTACGACGCTTAATAAGAAGACGCTGGCCCTCAAGAGGGTCTTCAACCTTCATATAGTCCTGGGTAATCTTGTTGAGCTCAGGCTTGAGCATTGTCATGCGCGCCGAGTGATCTGACGATTTGATGTAAAGAGGAAGTAGCAGAGTACGCATGGCCACAGTCACGCACATAATAGAGGCCCACCATGGCAGTCCCGAGTAAACGTGCATGATTTCGAAAATGTGCTGGAAAAAGTCTGGGGGCCAGAACCAAGATTGGGCCAAGCCAAGTGATTGGAAATAACCGATCTGGTTGGGAGCAACCACAGCGGCAGCTTGAATAGCATCTGAGACGCTGGCAGCAGCCTCTACAGCTTTTTCTGCGGAAATCTGACCAATTTCGGACTTGATTTCAATGGCAGGAGAGGCAGCAGCAACAGCAGCAGCAGCAGTGCCGGTCGAATTATAGCGGACAGGCCCGCGGGAAAGCAGCAGGCTAGTTTGTGCAGGTGCAAGAGATCTAAGGACTGGGGTCTAAACAAAAAAAAAAAAGTTAGCTTCTATATATATATATATATATGAACCAGCAACTTTTAAAAGAAACCAAAAACAAAAGAACATACGCGCAACCCAAGGCCCATTCGCAAAGATCGGCCGAGCATTGTTAGTGATTTTTTGGTTGATTTTTTGGAGAAAGAAGAGAGGAAAAAAAAGATTTCGCCAGTCAACCAGAAGTTTTGAATTTTCCAAAAAAAAAATGGTGGCAGTGACAAATTTTAATTTTTTTTATTTTTTAATTTTTTTTATTTTTTAATTTTTTTTATTTTTTTTATTTTTTTTTTTTCACCACAGAGGTGATTGGTGCCGTTATTACTGACTCATCAATGACTAATCTTTCAAAACTTTTAGGCATTTTCAAATCTCACCTGAGAAATTCAAAAATCAACAGGAGCTCAAAGCAGCCGCCAGAAAGACTTTCAACACCCGACCACCAAAAAATGCTCCGAGCTCTGCTGCGACGGGCTCGGCCCGCTCAGGTGCATATAGAACCGTCATTGTCGTATACCCATAAAGCAGTTCGAACAATTCGTACTACTGCTAAAGATCATAATACCACTACTGATACTGCTATAAAATACACCCCAAGCATGCTCGCAGCTTTGTCGCCGGAAAAGTGTGCGTTGATCCTGAGATATACTTCTACATTGCGCAGCCTGGCAAGATCTCTTGAGAATGAAAATGACCGTGCAAAGAGTTCTCAAAGTACCAAATACTCACTTCGTGTAGTGCGCACTGTTGCTATCACCTATGCTAAAACGAAAACTATACCACAACCACTCTTAATCCCATTTTTGCGTGCACTTCTCTTCATTCTCACACGAGCAAAACCTTCCAACATTTTCCAGATCAACCGTGCACAACGTGCAATTGATTTTGCCATGTGTCTTTTTGAAAAACTTGTCCATGGGAAACTCCCCGTGCAAACCCTCGTCATCAAACACATGCAAGCCTTAGTGCTACACCACGGCTCTGCCCTCATGCGGCATCGATTAGTCAATGCCTGTCGCCATATACCCATCGGTGCCACTCTTCTTCCGGAGTTTTACTCTCGCCAAGTTCTTTCTTGTGCGTCTTCCGGAGAAATAGAAGCTGCGCTGCTCATAATGGCAGAAGCGGCCGCGGCAGATGTCGAGCTACCACATACTTGCAACGAAATCATTGCGCATAGGTTACTCGACCAAGGTGAACTTGACATTGCCGCTCAAATCCTGCGTACAATGCTTGATAACCCACAAAATCAGCCCATTTATTCGCATCTCTGGGGTCACTTTGTCGCAGAAGCTGCGGCTCGTGCAAACCATAAACATTTGGCCTGGGCATGGCCCCATGCTGTTGATACTGGCGCGGTTAGTCCCAGCGATAGCACATACTACACAGCTTTAGATTTACAAATTTTCAATCCGGAAATCACTCTGGATCTTGTCCAAGCTTTGTGTTCTCGTGGACAACACCAAGACCCATTACTTGTGGCCACTGCAGCCGATGCCCTCGCACGCCAGGGTCTTCCAGATATCGCTCTTAAACTTCTCATTAACTTTGGCCCAGAGGCCTCGCGAGTCCGCATCTCAGATGTGCCCTTTCTCATTTCCGCCATTGGGGCTTCCCCAAATGGTCCCACAGTGGCCATTAAACAATGCTTCACCGCACTGCATTCCGAAGAAACAGATCCCCACGCACAAACTCTTGCATTTAACGTTGCCATAGCTGGCATCCTCCTATCGCCGACCCCAGAATCTGCTCGGCTGCTTATCCGTCATGTATTACGCGATTCACAGCTTCTAACCAAGGGAGTCTCGGAATCAACAATAAACTTTATTGTGCCCAACGCCGACACGCTGGCCGTGCTCTTGGACGCTGCAGGGCGCCTTTCAGTCTCCTTGAGCTCCAGTTCATTTGACCAGTCTCCTGGACAAGCAATGCTTGAAGTATATACAGAACTTGTTCCTCGGCAGCTCCCGGCCTCCCATCGCACGCTAGGGGCCCTTATTTCAGCACTCCTGCGTCTTGGAGACCTGGCCCTTGCTCGTACAGTTATTTCTGATAGAGACATTATAGACGATCTGCCCTTAATCGAGCGCACTTACATGCACGCGCTTGAAACTGCGGTTTCCGAAGCAGAGCTTGGGGTCCGGCAAGCACGAAGCCAGGCTTATTCTTCCAAGAAGTTGTTGTAATTGTAACACAAGCGCACCGTTGTAAACAACCTCACATCAAAGCAACAACAACAACAATAACAACACCAAAAAATAAAAATAAAAATAAAAATAAATATTCACCGCCATGTAAATACTCCAAATAAACACCCAACCCAACGTTCCCCAATGAGATGAATCTAGGCAGAGAGTCCTCGATATCCGTCACGGGTATGTAAATGATAGAAATATATAAAGATAAAAAGAGTTGTTTATTTTTTTTTTAATTTCTCTGGCTAATAAAGTTAGTCCGTGTGCGACCATTCACTTCTACGGAGGCCTGCCACCTCCAGGTCTACTCGGATGAGCCTATCTTTATGGGCGATGGCAGCCTGGCAAGTAGCGGCCCTCAACAAACCCAACCCCCAGCATCTTCGCTACAAGCCTCGCTCCGATCCGGGCCTATCCGCAAAGTTATTTCTGTTGTTGACGATAAAATGCTCATCTTCGATCCGCCAGAAACCCATGCTCCAAACGGGCGCGCGGCCCCACGCTTCGGGTCTAATACAAAGCGTGTACGTGAACACCGATTCGTTTTTGACAGACTTTTTGACGCAGGGGCATCGCAAGAAGAAGTCTACTCAAATACAACTAGACCTCTGCTAGACTCGGTCCTCGATGGCTACAATGCTACGGTCTTTGCCTACGGAGCCACGGGCTGCGGCAAAACACACACCATTAGCGGCACACCAATAGAACCGGGCATCATATTCCTCACCATGAAGGAGCTTTTTGAACGCATTGATGAGCTCCAAGATACAAAGCATATTGAACTTTCCCTTTCATATCTCGAAATCTATAATGAAACTATTCGAGACCTCCTTGACCCCTCGCCAAAATCTCTCATTCTTCGCGAGGATGCAAACCAGCGCATTTCTGTTTCAAACTTGAGCGTCCACAGACCAGAAAATGTTCACCAAGTCATGGACATGATTATCCAAGGCAACCAAAATCGAACCATTTCACCCACAGAAGCAAACGCCACATCATCTCGTTCCCACGCTGTACTTCAAATCAACGTTGTCCAGCGTGCACGTACAGCAGCTGTGTCTGAAGCACATACGTTTGCTACTCTTTCTATCATTGATCTTGCCGGTTCAGAGCGAGCATCGGCCACTAAAAACCGTGGTGAACGCCTTATTGAAGGTGCAAACATCAACAAGTCACTTTTAGCCCTGGGCAACTGCATAAATGCGCTCTGTGATCCTCGCCGCCGCAACCACGTTCCTTATCGCGATTCTAAACTTACCCGTTTACTAAAATTTTCGCTAGGAGGCAACTGCAAAACCGTCATGATTGTGTGTGTCTCACCCTCCAGTAGACACTACGACGAGACCCTTAATACCCTCAAGTATGCTGACCGTGCGAAAAAAATCAAAACAAAAGTTATTCGCAACGAGCACAACCTTAATCGCCACGTTGGCTCATACCTTAAAATGATTACCGAGCAAAAGCAAGAAATCGAGGAGCTTCGTGCTCGTGAGACACAGGTCGTTAGTATTGCACTTGCAAACGCAGATAAAGCCCGCGCAAAATGTGTTGATGCTATTGCAGAGGCGCTTGAAGCGTTTCGCCAAACAATAGTAAAGACTTCTAGTCAAAGACAGGCTCGCGCCTTAGCAATGGCGCGACTGCGGGTATTACCTGTTCAAGCAGCTCAGGCAGAGCTTATTCTGCGCAAGTATAGTGTTGCAGGGTCAGGATCGGGTACGCGCGAACTAGGGGAAGCCCTTCGAAGAGTTTTAACAAAACTCGAACAAGAACGACAAGAAATGGAGACCGTGGTCAATAATAATAATTATAATAATAACAACAACAACAATAACGAGTCGGTGTCTCCATTAGATAACACTATGCATTCTCTGCTACGGCGTCTGGAAGATACCCGCGGGTGGACCCAAGAGTACGCTGAGATCTTCATCACGCAGGCAAAAGCTTTACAGCTTCAAGCGGAACTAGAGGTGCTCCAAAATTCCATGGCAGTCACCGATATAAATGTCGAAATCACAGATGTAATTGCTTCGGCTCTGTTTCGGCTTTTGGGCGATCTCAATTCTCTCAATGACATCGCCTCGCAATCGGGCGACGATATCAAAAGTTTTGAGCTTGTCCGGCTATCAGAAAAGTTTGTTGAAACATGTCGCAAGCAATTTACCGCGCTTGCCACAGGAACTCCTATATCTCCTAGCCCCTCTCGTTCGCATTCTATGCCAGTAATTGCTGGTTCAGTATCTCCATTTAAGCCCTCATTAGTTAGCAGCCCATTTGGGTCATCACAAAAACGACCAGCTTCATCTTCCTCTCTGACGTGGGAATCACCGTCAAAGTCCCCAGGTAAGAGCTTGCAGCGCAGGCCCTTATCTGGAGTTCTTGCGCTAGGAATGGGTTCAATTGCTTCGGGGTCAGCTTCCACGGCGGCTAAGCGTCAAAGTGATTTAGGGCATTTAAAATCTGGGCTCACACCACCATCAGCATCTTCTTCATCTACTGCAACAAAACGGTTGAGTTTGCCTATCGGGGCAAAGCCCCCACCAGTATATCATTCCCCTGGGATTCGTTCCTCTGCTTCAATGAGGAACTTGTCTTCACCTCCGTCCGGCACTAGTCTTTTTGGCGGGAATAGTACACATGCCAAGAACCAACAGCACCTTTCGCCGTCGCTTATTCCTGCACCACCATCTCCATCATCTTCATCTGCATCTTTTGGTATGAATGGTGGTGTTCGTGCGTTGCGACGTCAAATTGCCGCATCCGGAGGAGTCATTCCTTCAAGCATGAAAAAGCACTCTGTCGTAATTCGGTCTCCGCTACGCAATAACCGCAAGTCAATTAAACGCGTGCGCTGGGAAGACGCCGATGAGGAAGAAGTGCGATATAATGAAGATTTCGATATGGACCAACGGGATGATGATGGCATTGATATTGACGAGAAAGACCCTCGTGTTCCACCATCGTCGCTACCTATGCCGTCGCGCATTGGTATTGCTGTTTCTCCAAGACCTACTTCTTGGGCAAACTCTTCACTTCCTGCTCCTGGAACTCCGTCTAATCTTCCTCGTCACCGTCACACTTCGTCTTTAGTGGAATCGCGGCGACAAGGCGTTGTGTTATCAGAGATGCGTACTCGAACCATTATTGAAAGTTTTAGTCCAAAATCAAGCACGCCATCCCGAACAAGTTATTTAGCACGTTATGGAGGGATTTCTGAGAATACGGGTGTTGTTGCACCTGTGGATAAGTCTACGGTTAATTCTATGATTTTCAATGATGATGATGGTGACGACGACGATGATGATGACAATAACGATAAAAATAATGATAGCCGACCTGTAGATACCCACGACATGAGCATCGACACGCTGCCTAGCCCGCCACAGTTGCTAAGCCATAAAACGTCGCTGGACGCCATGGACGTGGACAGTTTCGAGCTTTCAATGGTCAGTAACTCGGCCAAGCCTCCGGACTCAACCCCTCCTATGTCCAAGCCCAAGATTGTATTTGGAGTGAAGGGAGATTTACGGCGAAAGAGTGGTAACATTCTTCCAACTTCGTCGACAGGCGGTCCTCCGTCATACTTGTCTCCAACATATTCATCATCAGCCGCAGCAGCAGCAGCAACAACAACAACAACAACAGCAACAATCCTGGAGAGTCCTGCTGTGGCAAATAGTGGGATGGGAAATGGACCAGGTACACGATCATTTAGCGGGCCGGTGATTCCCACGCCCACAGCAGCACGGCCCGGCGGTTCGATGCAGGTGTCACCGAGTAAGGCACGGCACTCGCTCGGAGTACCTGTGTTTGGCAGTCCTGCGTTCAAAACATCAAGCAGTGCCAATGGTACAAACATCATCAAGTCAGAAGATTCTGCAACCTCAGGCATTTAAAGGAGGTTCATTAAGTATAAGAAATCATATTTAGAACTTATATCAAATTAAAGATACTTTGAAATATTTGATAAAAAAAAAAAAAAAGGAAACAAGAAGCTTTTATTTAAAGTTAGTATTTACATGTGCGGCTGAGAAAAGGCCTGTGATTTAAAGGGGGGCATAAAGACTCTCTCTCTTTCTCTCTAGTTTGCCCACTTTTTAAAGAGAAGCGATGCGTTGGTTCCGCCAAAACCAAAACTGTTGGTCATAGCGTACTGCAAAGGCTCCTTGGGAGTTTGGGCAACATGCGGAATATAGTTGCACTCAAACCCTTCGTCAGGATCGTCAAGGTTGCGAGTGGGAGGCAGAACATTGTCTCGAAGTGCAAGCACGGTGAAAAGAGCCTCTACCGACCCTGCACCACCCAGCAGATGGCCCATGGAGGCCTTGCTGGATGAGACGTTAATTTCCGATGCCGCACTTTTAAAGTTTTCAGGCGAAGAAGCCTGGGCAGGATTATTAAGACCCATGAGTACCTCGCAAATAGCATTGTTTTCGGCAACATCACCCAGCTTTGTGGAAGTTGCATGTGCATTCACGTAGCCAATGGCTTTCGGGGCCACACCGGAACGACCAATGGCCATCTGCATTGATCTGCGTGCACCGTCACCAGACTCTGCAGGAGCTGTGATGTGATGTGCGTCGCCGGAAAGACCATAGCCAACGACCTCGGCATAGATTTTGGCTCCACGAGCCAAGGCATGTTCCAGTTCTTCTAAAACAAATATACCTGCACCTTCGCCCATGATGAAACCAGCGCGGCGTTTGTCAAAAGGTCGCGAGGCAGCTTCTGGGTCGTCATTAAAGGCGGTTGCTACACTTTTGGCACGCGAAAAGCCGGCAAGGGCAATAGGATGAAGAGAAGCTTCGCCAGATCCTGCGACCATGACGTCGGCCATACCGAGAGAGATGAAGTTGGTGGCATCGCCAATAGCGTGAGCACCTGTGGTGCAAGCTGTTGAGACGGCGTGATTGGGGCCTTTAAGTTTATAGTTGATGGATATATGACCTGCGGCCATGTTTGTAAGTAGGCGTGGGATGAACAAGGGTTGGATTTTACGATATCCGCCAGCATTGAACCCGGTGATGTTAGTTACAGCATCTTCGAATCCACCAATCCCGGATCCGACGCAGACGCCGGTGCGCTCTTGGTCCAGCGGGTTTTCGGATGAAGCCGGGTGCCACTGAGCATCGTCGAGAGCCTGCTTGGTAGCTGCCAGAGCGTACTGTGCAAAGGTGGGGACTCTGCGCAACGAGGGCTTGTCGACCCATTCAAGAGCATCCCATTTTCCATCAGCAGCGGAGCCTAGCGGGACCTGGCCACCGACACGGCAGGGGACGTCTGGGTTGTTTGCGAGGACTGTGGAGTCGAGGGATACGAGACCCGACTTGCCTGCAATGAGATTTGCCCAAGCATGCGAGACTCCCACTCCAAGCGGGGACACGACACCGAGGCCTGTGACGACTACTCTTCGAAGCTGGCTCATGGTTTATTTTATTTTTTTTTTTTTTTGAGAGTAAGAAGGGTTTATTAAGGAACACTTCAAAATAGATAAGGGGATAGTTCTGAAATGTTGGCGGGTATTTGCCAAAGACGGATTGGCGGCTGTGGGGGTGAATTTTTTAAGGTGGCTGGCTGTGAGAGAGAGAAAAAAAAAGTTGTGTCAGTGGGAACGAATTTCCAAGTTAGAATGACTGTTGCAACATAAAAAGGCAATAGAGCAAAACAGCGGCAGAGCCCTTCAAAATTTTTCGGTCTGGGTTGCCTTGAAAAAAAAAAAAATAAAAAGCAATAGGGAGGCGCGCGCTTGGAAAGTTGAATTTCCATTTTGAAGGATATGAGATTTTGTATATAAGACCAGACATATCTGGGAATGCCCAAAGTCTATTTTTTTTATTTATTTTTTTATTTTTAACAAATCTTTTTTTTTTTTTAATTTTAATTTTAATCTTTTCATCACCATCTATTTCAAAAAAAAAAAAAAAAAAAATGTCGCAAACAGTCACAATCACACAAGCCCAACAAACACAAACTATCAAGGCAACTGGCTCAAAGCTTGAGCAGCAACAGCCTGAACTCAAAGGGTTCTCACTGGGTCCTGACCCTTATCCACGACCAACCTTTACTGATAAGCATGAGCAGCGACGCTGGATGCTGCAACATCTTGCAGGAGCATATCGTGTGTTTGCACGTAACGGTTACCTCGAAGGCTCAGCTGGTCACCTTTCGATCCGAGACCCTGTGGACCCGACCACATTCTGGATTAATCCCCTGGGCAAACACTTTGCGCTTATCAAGGCTTCTGATATGGTTCAAGTGGACGAGGACTCGAATGTAATTAACGTTGCAGCAAATATTCTTGGTAAAAATGAGTCCACTGTTACAAACAAAGCTCCTAGAAATATTGCCATCAACCTAGCTGGCTTCAAAATTCACTCAGAGCTACATAAGGCTCGTCCAGATGTGTGGGCTGCCTGTCACGCTCATTCGATTCATGGCAAGGCCTACAGTGCATTCGGTAAGCCTTTGGAAATGATCAACCAAGACGCTTGCATTTTCTACAAGACCCACGCAGTATACGACAATTTTGGCGGTATTGTTCTGGATGCCAATGAGGGTAAGCACATTGCAGAGGCGCTGGGAGCCCGCAACAAGGCCTTGATTTTGAAGAACCATGGCCTGCTGACTGTTGGCGAGACCATCGACGAGGCTGCGTACCTGTTTGGACTTATGGAACGCTCGTGCAAGATTCAGTTGCTTGCTGATGCAGCCGAGGGTAACCGTGGTCTGAAGAAGGAAGAGATTCCCGACCAGATTGCACAGTTTACTTGGGAAAACACAGCCTCTGCTGATATTTTGTATCAGGAGTTCCAGCCGGAACTTGAATACGAAACGCACTTGGATGATAGCTATTTGAAGTAATAGTGACCCGGGACATAATTGTTGAGCCGCACGGCCGTATCATCACGTGTTTTTCCTTATTTTTTAGAGTACAAAGTTACTTGGTTGGTTTTCATACTAAATTTGTTTGTAAAAATTAACACACAAACACCGAACAAAACTTTTGACTTTCCACACGAATTTGTTTAAAAGTAACTTTTCTAACAGGTGTTACATAATTAAAAACATTCCAAAAAAAAAAGACAATAAATGAATGAATCAATGAAAATTTTTAATCCATATTTTTTTTTTTTTTCAAAGTACAGAATAGACTAATTTGTTATATAGTTATAAGAACTAATAATTAAGATTTCAGGTGATTCATATAATCATCCATGCCTTTGGAAAGGATCTTTGCAATATGTTTTATTGAAATTTCCCTTAGTGTAAACATCAATGAGTTTATCTAAATGATGCAATTTATTGTCTAAGATAAATTCAATATTGAATTCCTTAGAATAAAAATTGAAATTGCGACATTTTTTTTGGGTGTAGCTTTTGACAGGGAAACTTTTGTGAGGGATACGCAAGATAGAATATATTAAGATTTATTTCTAAAAGCACAAACATTTTTAATAAAGACATCTAGTCCTTTATTTTTGTTTTTGTTTTTTTGATAACATAATTATGGTTATAACCTAAAACAGTAGATTCAAGTTTCATGGGTTTAAAAATTGCTTTGTACTTTTTATAGACTTAAACAAAACTAAAAAAAAAAAACTGGTCAAAAACTGGTCAAAAACTGGGTCTATAAATATTTGACCAAGCTGAAAGCAAACAACATTTTGCTGAATTCTCAAAAAAAAAAAAAAAAAGGATTTTTATATTAAATTAAACATTAATTTTCAATCATTTGAAAGCTCAATCTTGACAATAGTTCTAAAAGATTTAAGGCATGTTTGTCTTTTTGATGCTATCAATAATATGATATAGCAAATGAAAATTAAAATTTAATTCTTTTGCAAGTGGAGAATTGTGGTCAATGATTACAGAATTAAAAGATTTAAATAAAAATATAAGCAATTTTATAAAGGAAAATAAAGATGTTTTGTGTTGATTTTAGTGAAATATTCGCCATATTAAGATAAAAAAAGGGTATGCTGAAACAAGTGGTAATTATGGTAATTAACGAGATCCTTTTGAGTTATACGGGATACCTTTATTTGGAGTCGAATTTTTCATTTTTAAAATCAAAAATTAAAAAAATATTAAAAAAAATATGCTATATCTGATATATTGTGTAATTTTTTTTATATATTTTATTACTTTTTGTTTTTTTCCACTTTTTATTTCCATTTTGTTGATCATAAAAATCATGATTGAATAGATAATATTGTGATTACGTAATAAGTCTAATTACCTCTTTCCTAAAGGGGAACCGATTAAGATTGGTTCAAAATTTAGTTATTACTTAACTTAAAGTTAATATAAAATAATAATATACAGCTGTGTATTTCAATCTGTCAATTCCTTAGGAATTCCATTCCAAATAATTATTTTAAACATAAATAAAAACATTCAATAATATTAATCCCAATTTCCATTATCAGCCTTGGTCCGATGAAGAGATTTGATTGTCTTGCTACAATAACTTTCTTTCAGTTTGGGCAATTGAACCCCACTACCGGTTTCGATTTTTTTACTTTCTGACCATTTACCATATTCTTCGTCAACAATTTCAGGTTCCATTTCCCAAGTGTTAAACTCGTGATAATGATATTTATTTCTGTTAGGTAACTCGTTAATATATATATATATATATATATATATATATATATTGTTTTTGATTTCACACATAATTGGAGAACCAAGTTTTTTTACGCAACTTCCCTTGAAAGCCAGCCTCCTCCCAGGCCTTGCACTTGGCAGTAGCCTTGTAGTTATTTTCTTCATCGAGGTGAACGCCACCATTAGGACACATGTACTTGTGTGGATTGGTGACTGCTGAGGTGAGAAGAATCTTATAATTCTTGTGATCTACAATTATCATGATAATTGTTATAACAATCATAATAATAACAAGAACCCGATCCCTTTTCTCCAAGTAGACTTTAATGGGTTAGTTACTTAAAAAAAAATAAAAATAAAAATAAAAACTAAAAAAGTTTTTACAGGTGATTGAGAAGTCCTGAAGATGATACATATTTTGATAACAAATTGCAATGTTGGTAATTAATATTAATGGATAAGAAGAAAAGTTACAATTATAAGAAAAAATAATTAAATAAATAAATAAAAAATTGATCATTGAAAAATTATAAAAATATTCAATTTTTTTTTTGTTTTTTTTGTTTTTTTTTACTTTAAAATCAATTAATTGATAATTATAGTTAATTGACCATTTCATTTAATAACCACCATTAAAAAAAAAATCAATCTTTAGTGATTACTCAAACCACGTCTTTTTTTTTTTAATTTCTGAGTCACTCATGCATATATAGATTTTTTTTTCTAAAAGAATTGTTCACAATATGATCTTTTCTATATTTTTCTTTCTTTAATTCTTTAATTCTTTAATTCTTTAATTCTTTAATTCTTTAATTCTTTAATTCTTTAATTCTTTAATTCTTTAATTCTTTAATTCTTTAATTCTTTAATTCTTTAATTCTTTAATTCTTTAATTCTTTAATTCTTTAATTCTTTAATTCTTTAATTCTTTAATTCTTTAATTCTTTAATTCTTTAATTCTTTAATTCTTTAATTCTTTAATTCTTTAATTCTTTAATTCTTTAATTCTTTAATTCTTTAATTCTTTAATTCTTTAATTCTTTAATTCTTTAATTCTTTAATTCTTTAATTCTTTAATTCTTTAATTCTTTAATTCTTTAATTCTTTAATTCTTTAATTCTTTAATTCTTTAATTCTTTAATTCTTTAATTCTTTAATTCTTTAATTCTTTAATTCTTTAATTCTTTAATTCTTTAATTCTTTAATTCTTTAATTCTTTAATTCTTTAATTCTTTAATTCTTTAATTCTTTAATTCTTTAATTCTTTAATTCTTTAATTCTTTAATTCTTTAATTCTTTAATTCTTTAATTCTTTAATTCTTTAATTCTTTAATTCTTTAATTCTTTTATTCTTTAATTCTTTAATTCTATCAGATCTTTTCTCCGACAAATGGGAAATGTTCACATGTGCCCATTAAAATCAATCGCCTTCTTCTTATATAAGAAAAAAAAACACCTTACTGTTTGTCAGCTGTTATTATAGAATGACTAAGCTACGGTAGTTAACAGGTTTATTTTTATACGCTTATAAAAATCCTTTAAATCCCCCACCTCAGCTTATTTCTATCTTAAATTTTTGTTATTATTTATTATTCGTTATATACTAAAATCTTAAAATTTAAAGATTTTAAAAAAAAAGAAAAAGAAAAAAAAAAACCCCATCGATCAATAGACTCTCAAAATCAAATTCTCATATATATTTATTCACAAAAATGTCTGAACCAACTCCAGAATCAAACCATAACTTTAAGAAAACAACAACTGCCCGTGAAGGCCGTGAAAACCAAGGTATTTATTTACTAACAATTCCCTCCATTGTATTTATGTCCACCCATTATCAGTCCTCCTAACCATATTCTTTTCTATATATATATATATTTAGTTTACTCTGAAAAGGGTGCCCGTGTTGTCGCTGGAACTGTCATTGTTGATAGTGCAAACAAAAAGGTCCTTCTCGTTTCTTCTACCTCCCATCGCGACAAGTTCATTCTACCTAAAGGCGGCGTCGAAAAAGATGAAATCAATGACTACGCTGCTACCGCATTGCGTGAGACTTGGGAAGAAGCCGGCGTCACTGGAACCCTCGGCATAAAACTCGGCCCACCCATCCTGAAATTGATCACTCACCCAAAAATTCTTGCCGAGCTCCCAGAACCAAAAGCATTCCCTTATACCGAGTTCCACTTCTACGAGCTCGAGTTTGGCAAATTGGAACCTGTTTGGCCTGAAGGTGATAAGCGTGATCGTGTCTGGGCAGATCCCGAAGAAGCCGTGCGCCTTCTTACCAAAAGTGATCGCCCTGAAATGGTTGAAGCTCTCGAACGAAGCTCTCTGTTTAAAGCATAAAAACAATTCATTTTTATTTTTATTTTTAATTCTTTTCTTTCTTTCTTTCTTTCTTTCTTTTTTTTTTCTTTTTTTTTCTTTTCCCTGTTCTCTTTTCATTAAATATATTTATTATTAATCTTTCTTTTTTCTTTCTTTCTAATTCTTAATGGCTCCAGCTCCACCGCCGCTCATAAAGGATCCCAGCAGATCCTGCAGCATATTCATCTGTGGTCGTGGTGGTGCAATCCCACAATAAAGCTCTGCAATCCCTGCAAGCACAGACTTCCATGCATCCAGACCATCAATTAGCGCCGCATAACGAGCCTTGAGTCGATTGTACATCTCAGGAGACTTGCTCTGCACAGTCGGAACTAATAGTTGCAAAAAATTAAGCAGAGGAACCTCCTTAAACACATAAACAGCACTTCCAGATCCCTCCTGGCGATCGTAGTCCAATCGTTGACCTAACGCCGAGTTACTAGCATGTTCTGCAACAACATACTCAATAAAAGTCTGTAACACGCCGCGTGCATCCCGCACATTGCCTGCACTCAGGTACCCAAGCACACCACGAGACAAATACAGCGGCAGCCCAGCCGCCACGTCTGCCGCACTTTCTTTCAGTAGCGTGCTGTTGTTCTTATCCTTGCTATCGGCGTCCGTTCCAGGACCTGTTGCCCAAGTATAGAGCATTGTAGCAAGTACACGGGGTGATTCGCGTGTACCCTGAAGCAAATGTCGCTCGGCTTCGTAAGTATCAGGTGCACTTTCTCGTGCAAATTTGGATCCAAATACATGGTGCAGCTCTGAATCACTGCCAGACCATTGAATCGCCTCTGCTGCAATCTTCTTTACAAGAGGTTCCTTGCCAGCATTCAGTTGATTCACAAGCTGCACAAGTTCACCCTTGGCAGCAGATGTAGGGCTGGTGCCAGCCTTGCGGTACACATCCAGTAAATACAGAATCAGATCGCATGCTGAAGAACTTTCGTTGGCCTTAGCCAGAAGCTCAGCGGTGTGAACAAGCAGTTTGATTGCTTCATCGTATTGCTTGGTTCGCACATAACGCGCCACCACAGTACGAGTAGCTTGGTGGGCCTCATAGTAGTCACCCTCTTCAATTCTAGCCATTTTTAATCATCAGTATTTTCAATACAACATTTTTATATCTTTTGCCTATTCCTACCTACCGTTGTCTGGTTCGTGCAAGAACCTTATCGAGTTTGCCTGTTGCCGATGACATGATGCTTTGGTTGGTTGGTTGGTTGGTTGGTTGGTTGGTGGGGGGAGGCAAAAGAAATTTTAGCAAGTGGGTTTTTTTTTTTAATTTTGTTACACGTTGCACTGCAGCTTACCCTAATGGTAACTTTATACGTTACCCCCATAATATCTTCTACGTTACCCTGGCTCTATATCTTACTGGTCTTTCTTGATGGATTCATCATTCTTGATGGGCTCGTCTCCCTTAATACCCGCAGCAAACTTGGCAAACGGATTTGGCATGCCAGACTGGCTGGCGCGGCGCTTAACCTGTTGCAGTTCATGCGCAATCTCCTGCTTGACTGTCTCAAAGTCCTCGACGGCCTGCTTCATGTCCTCATCTAAAGTGTCCAGATCAGACAGTGGAACACCAAGCGATGGCTGATTAGATGATAGTTCCTCAATTTCCTTTTGGATTGCACGCAGACGCGCAGCATCCAACTTGATCTTCTCGCTGGGAGACAGCGGAACAGGATATAATGTCTTAAGCTTAGCTTCAACCTGTTTGCGGAATGGACCCTGGAATAGGAAAATGGTAACAAAGATAAAAACATGGCCGAAAAAGTAAACATGGGCCCACAAGGACAGAGATCGCTTCATGTTCAAAATCACAAAGGGCTGAACAGCATATCCAAAGCCAATCTGAGTCACAAAGTACGTCACAATATCATAAATTCTCTTATACTTTCCAGGTGTAACACCGTCAGATTCCATAAATATGGGGCGAATCTTGCGACGGAAAATTTTGCCGAGTGACTGGTAAAAAGCACCAGTGACAAATGTCAAATAGTACCCTGGCTGAGTTCCATGCCACATGGCTGAAGTGAAAAAGGTCACAAAAGTGCTAAAAAAGCCTGGCTTCTTGCCCTTGGGCGTCACGCGCAGGTAAACATAATTCTTAAGCCACTTGTTAGTGTTCATATTCCAGGCCTCCAGCAGCACGTGGGAATTGGTGCCGGTCTCGAACGCTATAGGATCAACGTTTTGCACACGGTTCCACAGATACTTGCCAGTCTTTGACTTGCCATTGAAGCCAAGACCACTAAGAATACAGGCACCCTCGGCAATGGACCATGCACCATAGTATTTGAGGCGGTAAGTAAAGCCCAAGATCCACAAGTAAAACATGCGTGAGACTAACGATAGTTCCTGGCTAAACTTGGGTGACATGGCATAATCAAGACTCACGTACTTGGTGATTTGAACCCATAGCACAATCCAGGCAATACCTTCAGCACACTTAAGAGCAGACACACGACCACTGCGGGGGATCTTGCGCTTTGTGCGCTTTGCACCGGTATTATCATTGACAATCACATCAAACATACTCAAGTCGATCCAGCGTTGGAACTCAGCATAGTCGTAAGAAGGACCCGTAAGAAGCGATGGGAAGTAAAACACATAAGCAAGGAAATCAAGCAGAGATGGGTGTTGGCGAATAGCACGATCCTTTTGGAAGTCGGACAACTTAGCGTCGGGTTGCCAGCCATCAGCAATATTCCAGCCAAAGGCAGAAAGCTTCATACACAGCACCATTTGGGCGCCTGTAATGTCAATAACGTTGGTATCAAAGTCATCCACAAAGAGCTGGGCACTAATGTGGTTTAAGAGCAGATGACCCATAACAAATGCAAAGTTGACCCAGGGCATGAGCGGGCTGACAAAATATTTTGTGATGGCATAACTAGTCAGTGAACTGATGAGCAAAGTCTTGACACCTCCCCAAAGAGAAAAGATGCCGACAAGATAAAATGCAGAGATTCTATAATAATTAATATATGTTTTTATATTAAATAAAATTGGATTACTTACGCGATGCAGTAAATATCTTTGAGCCTCTTGTTATTGTCAGGTAAACGCTTCAGAATGCCGCTAAATGGATACGATAGGATTAAACATGAAGCAATCTTAAGTAGGTCTGCAGGCAGACCGGAGGCATCGGCAGCTGAGTTGATCAGGCGGTCAAGGGCTGGAATGGCCATGATGGAATATCTGAGAGTCTATTATCAGGATTGCCTGGATCGGTTAAACCGAAAGGGTTTAAAAATGAAGGTTTATTAAATAAATATAGATTTCGTTTAGAACAAAGTAGGAAGAAACAAAAGAGAGGAAAAAAAAAAAAAAAAAAGGCCGCGCTTGTGGGGGAGGAAAAATCCGTTGCTTTGCTGCTGTTCAACAGTCACGTGAACCTTAATTTTTAATAATTTTTTTTTTTTTAAAATTTTTTTTTTTTTTTTTTTTCAGAGCTTCCCTCCAATCTTTAAACAACCATCATCACCAGAAGATACCTAATCAATGACTTCAGATACCCAGCCTGGATCTGTACAACCCCTAAAGACCGTAGATGGTCTGGCAGTACCTGCAAATATTACAATTCCACCTCCAGAAGTGCGCACAGTAGTTGAAAAAACTGCTGCTTACGTTGTGCGCAATGGCCGCGCGTTCGAGGCGCGAATCCGCGAAAACGAACAAGAAAACGCCAAATTTAACTTTATCAAATTCAACGACCCATACTTTGCATTCTATGAATGGAGACTTAAAGAATTAGAAACAGGTGGACCTGGTGCTGGTGATGCTGGTGCTGGTGCTGGTGCTGGTACTACTGTAAAAACATTGGCTGGCACAGGTGGTGCGGCCAAAGACGCCACCGGAATTACCAAACCAGAACCACTGGAGTTTGCATATACCCTTCCACCGCTTTCAGCTCAAGACCTGGATATAATTAAACTGACTGCTTTGTATGTTGCACGGAACGGGACCCAATTTCAGACAGCATTGGCACGAGCTGAGGCAAAGAACTTCCAGTACGATTTCCTACGACCTCAGCACTCACTTTTCCCACTTTATAACTCGCTTGTCGAACAATACAAATCTGTAATTACACCTCCAGCAAAGTTGATTGAACGTATCAAAACCAGTGCACATGACCCGTTTTCAGTTATTAACAGGGCACGTATTCGAGCAGAATGGGACGCGCGACAAGCTACTGAGACTGAAAAGGCAGCAGCAGATGCGCGTGCGGAACGCGAAGCTTATGCAAACATCGACTGGCATGACTTTGTGGTAGTAGAAACAATTAAATTTACAGATGCTGATGAGCGTAATAATAATCTACCGGCACCTTTATCTCGTGCACAGCTCGAGTACGCATCTCTGGAACAAAAGCGCATGGGAAGTCTGCGTATCGAAGAGGCACCACCAGACTTTGTAGAAGAACAGAAACAGGAAGTAAAAAGTGCACCAGCACAAGCACAAGCACAAACACAAACACAAGTAGCATCAGCATCAGCATCAGCATCGGTATCTTCTACTGCTCCTCCTGTTAGAGGGAAAGTCCCTGCTTCTCTGCCAAATACACCGCGGCCCCCACAACAACCCCCACAAGCACAGTCACAACAAGTTCCTCAAGTTTCGTCCACACTACCTCCAGGTATGAAGATCAAGTCAGCAGGAACATCGCGTCTCAACAAGCTAAAGGCTTCTGGTGGTTCTGGAGGGAAAGATCAGATGGTGGTATCTCCATTAACTGGTGAGCTTGTTCCACAGTCACAATTAGAAGAACATATGCGTATTTCACTTATGGATCCCAAATGGAAAGAACAAAAGACAATTGCTGAGTCACGGCAAGCTACTACGAACTTGTCAACGGCCGAAGTTACTGCCAATATTAAGAGGCTGGTACCACGGGATGATGACGAAGAAGATGCAGAAGATAGTCAGCATATACATAAGCGTGCTAGAGATATTCAGTGGGACGGATACAGTCGGTCTAAGGATCAGGTTAGACAACAAGCAGCTTCTTCGACCTCTGCACAACAAAAACTAGAAGCCAAGCAACGAGAAATGGAGCGTTTGAATAAGATTGGTCCAAGGCCAACATAATATACTATATAAGAAAAGAAAGAAAAGAAAAAAAATTTTTTTTTTTTTTGATCATTAGTCTATGAGATTTATAAGGTCGCGTTGACCATAAAGTTGGGCAACAATAGCCACTGTTGAATCAAGCCAAAGCCTGGTTTCTGTAGAGATTTTTTTGCCTGTTGTAATTTTGTTGCGGATATGAATACACTTTTTGGCAAGTTGTCGCAGCACTGCAGTAGCATCTGCATCGACAGTGTCAGGGTATTTTAATAGAATTGCATACGTCCAACGAGCCATGGGGGGAGGCACTTTGCTAGACGCACATCTGCATGCGTAATCTAATAATTGTGTGGCTATTACTATATCCAAATGGTTCAATAATGCTGGAGATGGTTGAGTTGTAGATCCTTGTAATAGAAACTTTTTCCATTGATCAAAAGTTTCTGGTAAAGGTGATGATGGTAAGGAAGTAGAAGTAGTTTGGGGATCTAATGCATCAATGGTTGTTTGTAATATGCGTCTTGATTGTGCAAAAGATTTAAGAAATTCGTCATTCCATTTTCTATCAAGATCTAATATTTCACAGTTGTAAGAAAAGGAGGATTTCAGAGGATGAGGATCAGCTGTATCTTTGGGTTGATCTGTAGGGCTTGTCTGAGGGATTACCACAAATGGGTTATGAGGCTGTGCCTGTGGAAGATGTGTTGGTTTAGGCAATGAATATGGTTGTAAGGTTTGTCTGGTATCTCTCAAAAGAGGTTGTGTAGTTTGGGATGAGTTTAACAAAGAATGTGGGGCAATTGGTTGACTACGGATTGTATGCATAAATGAAGGTCTTGTAGAGGCTTCATGGCGGACTCGAGCAAGGTATTCAAGCGCCGATACTGGGGGGGTACCAGAAGCCATAGAACGTAGCAAAGACGGGTCCAATGCAGGGATTGGGAATGCTGCACGCTGTCCCGTTTCTTTATCAATAGGGCCAGCTGTGTATGTAGGTTTTTGTTCTTCTTGATCTTGATCTTCTTCTTCTTCTTCATCATTGTCGGCTTCTTCTTCTTCTTCTTCTTCATTGGTATTATTATCATTAGCCATTATTTCTTGATCTTCCCCAATCTCGTCATGTTTGTTGTTTTCATCAATCTCCTCTTCTTCTTCTTCTTCTTCTTCTTCTTCTTCTTCTTCTTCTTCTTCTTCTTCCTCATCATTATCAGACTCATCTTCATCACTGTATAATGTATTTATTAACAATTTCAGTCGTTTCGGGTCCGGTTCCGCTGTAGCTGCTTCATCATTTTCCTTATGGTGAAAATCCCCCCCATCACCAGCAGTTATTGACCGTTTCAGCCGATTTGCCGACGGCTTTCCCGCGTCTGCCGCGGGTTCTCCATAGCCAACTTTAGCTAATGCATGTGTACTCTGGTGAACATCAGGGTTTTCGAGAACGCATGGAAATTTTTTCACAGTCGGCTGGTAATCCCCATCACTTTCATCGTCGTATCCATTGTTGGTGCCATTGCCTTTGTCGTTGTTGACTGCTGTTAGCAATGTCGATGACATTAATGCTGGTTCTGATTCTTGGTTATTTGGTAGATCAGCCTGAGGTGTGACCAAAATCGGAGATTCCCGAGTGGCATTGCTATTAGTTACATTAGTGCTCCCCGCGGCTACTGCCACCGGGTGCGACGCGGTGGATCCTTCCTGCGCCGCTATCAGACTTTTGTGACCCGCGTGCGCGTTCTCAGAAACAAATCCTAGAGTCTGTTCCCGTGGATCATTGACAATAAATAATTTTTTATTGGCTGAGTTAGCCATGTTTGTTTTGTCTGAGCTGTGTAGAGTAGTCGCGTCGTGCACGTTAGTAGAGAATGATGAAGAAGAAGAAGAAGAAGAAGAAGAAGAAGAAGAAGAAGAAGAGCCTAAAGAAAGAGATTCAAGGCATACGTTAGGCAATTGACCTGTTGAAGACCCTTTATTTAGATTTTGATCTGTTTGATGTTGTTGGTCTAATAGTGGGCTATCCATGGTGGTCATAATTATCGGGTTCCGGTCCTCGGGTATGGGGTGGCTGTGGGCTAAAATATTTGGTGGTGTTGACTTTAAAAAAAAAAAAAAAAATTTTTTTGTTTTTTTTTGATTTTTTTGGAGTTCTTTTCGCACATGCCCGCGGCTGACTCATGTTCACGTGACCTTTAAATAATTTTTTTTTTTTTTTTTTTTCCTATTCTTTTCCTACCATTTTACGCTACTCTCTAAATAAGTTAATTTTTTTAATTTTTTTAATTTTTTTAATTTTTTTAATTTTTTTTAATTTTTTTTTTTTTTTTTTTTTTTTTTTTTTTTACTTTTTGTTCTCCTCCTGCCTCTCTCTCTCCCCAACCTTCAACAAATAAACTCAGAAACCTCAGCATTTGCCGCCAAAGTATTTAAACGTCTGTAATTTCCGTACTTTCAACAAAAGTTTTTTTTTTTCTTCTTTTCTTTTCTTTTCTTCTGTGTAAGTCTTTTTTTTAAAAAAAAAAAATACCAATCATATAGAAACAATAGAAACTATAATAGATACAATGACATACCATCTCCCGTTCTCGCTAACTCATTTGTCTGATAGTATTCACCACCTGCTTCAGGCATTTATCCAAAATATCCACTACCCTATTGCCGCCGCACTAGCTCTCATGTGTATCTGCTGGTTTTTCTGCTCAGACTGCTTCCTAGTCATCCTTGCCATTTTCTTCCCTCCTCTGCCCGTTTGGATAAGGCGCGGATGCTGCTCTATCGATTCCTTTATCAATATTGCCTTATGCTGTCTTGGTTATCTTCCAGGCCTTATTCACTCATGGTATATTATTGCGCACTACCCTGAAGATTCAGAAGTTTACGAGTACGATTATGAGTCCCAGTCTTATTATGGTAACGATCATCATCATCATCATCATCATCACTATCACGATAGACCCAACGGTGGTAATGGTGGTGGCTTTTCCAATTCCCCTAGACCTAATAATAATGGCTACATTCAAGTTTCTCAAACCCAGCCACCTGTTGTTGTTGTAACTTCCCCCGCCACCTTACCTGCAAATTATCCTGTCGCACAACCTTATCAGCAACAACAACAGGCAGTCACTCAGACACCACAATCACAATCACAACAACAGCAGCAGCCACTGCTACAACAGTTACCTCAACAATTACAATCACAATCACGACAACAGCAAGAGCAAGAGCAAGAGCCAGTATCTCCTAGAGCTGGTCCTTCATCTTCATCTGAAGCCCAGTATATTTCTGCTGAAGATGAACCTTTGTTGCAATCTTCTAAGGCTAACGATGCTCCCCAAGGCCAGCCTCCTTCTTATGACGATGTCATTCGTGACACCATTGCCTCGACTTAGTGGTTGATGATTTGAGTTATATATATATAAACCTTTTTTTTTTTTAATGATTTATGATTTTTTATTTATTTATTTCTTGTTTAGTTAAAATGCAACTGAGTTTTTTTTATGTTGACACTTTTTTTTTTTTTTTTTTTTTTCCCCTCCCCATTCACTTTTGTTTAAAAATAAAATCTGTTCAAATCGGGAAAACAAAAACTGAAATCAATTTTTTTTTTTTTAGAAATAATTATTTTCATAGCCGCGGTATGGCCGGTGGAAAAGCTGCTGCTGCTGCTGCTGCTGCTGCTGCTTTTGTTCGTTTTGCTGCTGCTTTTGCTGATTCTTCTGATTCTGTTATATTCTGTTATATTCTGTTGATTCTGCTGCTGCTGTTGCTGCTGCTGCTGCTGCTTCAATCTATAATTGCATTCTGTATTTGTTGCATTCTGGTTGGTGGCCTCTGCTAATAACCAAAAAAAAAAAAAAAAATAAAAAAAATTACACTTTTAAGTCCCACTTAAAGGACTTCTCCGATTAGTCTACTTGAAAAAAAAAAAAAAAAAAAAAAAAAAATTTCATACCAAAGTAGCAATTTTTTTTTCTTTCTAACATTGATTCAATAAAAAAAAAAAAAAAAACCATTTCGCTCGCATGAATTTAAAAAAATATCATTCGGTTATTGTCATTTCTTCTTTTTCTTCTTTTTCTTCTTTTTCTTCTTTTTCTTCTTCTTCTTCTTCTTCTTCTTCTTCTTCTTCTATCTAAAAGGTTCATTTACTCCGCTTAAAAAAAAAAAATAAATAAAATAAACCAGGGCATACAAAAACAGTGCTTATCAATAGTACACATTTCTATAAATCTCTCCCACCCCCTTCTCAAATATAAGTTCTAAACGATTGAACTAAAAAATAAAAATAAAAATAAAAAAATAATCTCCATTTTTTCTTTAGGAAATTACTTTCTTAAAAAAGTTTATTATTTCTGTGCATTTTCTATACTTTCCATTCAACCTCATTTATATAACTACCCTTAACTCTCATCTGAAACATTCCATTGTTATACTCCGTTGTTTATTTTGTTTTTTTTTTTTTGTCTCTATTCATAAACCTCATAAAAAAACTAGGCAAACCTCCTATTTATTTATTTTTTTTTTTTTTTTTTTAAATTCTTGTGCATTTTCTTTAAAGACTAAATTTGATTAAGAAAAAAAAAAAAAATTTAATATTAGAGGCAACCGTGGGCGGTTTTAAAAAATAATAAAAATACAAGTCATTGTATCATTGATGTAAGAGAATTTTCAAAAATTTTAAAAGTTTCTTTGAAATATTTTTATATATTTGTGAATTGAAATGATTGTAAATACAAGTAATTACTTTTATTAATGCTTAAATATTGGATTTTTTTTTTTTACTTTTAAAAAAGTTCTTGTTTTTATATTTAACAGCCGCGCTACTGTCTCCTATTTATTTTTTTTATTTTTATTTTTTCATTTGTAACCTTCCTCACCAAAAATAGCAATTACAAAAAAAAAAAATAATAAAAAGATGAATATTTTGTTTTTCCGAACTACAGCCGTACATTCAATACATAGTTGGAATTTTGCAAGTTTAAAAAAAACAGACATTGTAAATTATCAAAATAACAGGAAAAATCTTTCTAAAAATTCAAGAAAAAAAAAAATGAATTAAAGAACCTATAGAGGTAATTAAGAAATATTATTATGGCGTGAGCTCTTTTTTTTTTTTTTTAAAAAAGTATAAAACTAAAAGCAAATAAATAATTAGATCTCATAAAGCATAGTACCTTCTTAAATTGAAAAAAAAAACAAAAAAAGTGGTAAGATATTTCAATGTCAATTAAATTTTTTCAAATAAACCATTCTTATAATTATAAGAAAACTTTATATATTTCATATATTCAATAATGTAGATTTGAAAAAAAAAAAAAAAATGATGGAAAAAACATTCCACTATTTCAATTTCAAATTCACATGTCAAGATTTTTAATATTTTTAATGGGGGAGAAAAAAAAAAAAATTTTTTTTTTTCAATAAATGTGGCTGGCTTAAAGTCATTACTAAAATTAGGAATGCATAATATTGTTATTCGTTTCTTATTTCTTATTTCTTATTTACTATTTACTATTGTTTAAATCTCGTTTGAATTTTAATCAGGGACCTCTCCCCTCCCCTCCCCCATGGCCGAGATCTGCACCTGGTCCTATTTTTAAAGCTTTCGATTAAATAAATGCTAAGATTCAGTTAAAAATAAATTGTCGACATAAATAAAAAAAGATATCTATTTATTATTATAATTATTATTTATAAATTGATATTTATAAGAATTAGTAATGAATTGAAATATTATTATTTTTTTTTTTTTACAAATTAGATTTCTGTTGATAAAAAAAAAATAAAATGAATCAAATACATTGAGTACAAAAAAAAAAAAATAAAATACAATAAAAGCAGATAAAATTTCATAATAGCTTATCATTAGTAAATCAATAATTTGTATTCAAGTTTCATAATACTCTCCCAAAATAAAAAATCTGTCTGTCTTGTTAGTAAATCATTGTGTCAGCGCTCAAATAAGTTTCCTTTCTCTATTTGTACATGAAAATTCAAAAGAACAATAAAATAAACCTAAAAAGCCGTTATATTCAAGTCCCAAAATTGATGCAAGTATTATGCACTTACCTTTAAAAAAAAAAAAAAAACCTCCTCCCTCTCCGTGATTACAGATTGTTAACTGGAATTTATGTTTTGATAAATTCAACTGATAGTCATTTTTTTTTAAATCTGACATATAACGCATGAATATCTTACTATAAAATAGTAAATGTGTACAATCCTATTCATTTAAACTCTCCTATTAATGTTTCCAAGATTGGGTCAGAATATTAGGGCACCTCTATTCATTTATTAATTTCTTTTTTTTTTTAACAATCACATGGTTTCAACTAACAGTTTAGAAAAAAACAACTCAATGAACAGAAACTTCCATAACACTTGGTTAGGTTAAGCTTTTTTTTTTTATTGTTCGAATTGATAGAACAATAAATATCAAAGCAAAATTTAAATTTATTTCTTTTTTGTTCCCTCTTTTCCCTTTCTTTTTTTTTTTTTTTTTTTTTTTTTTTTAATTTAGGAGCCATCAAAAGATTTTATATATATATTTTCAAATGTGAATACAACGGCACTAAAATCATAGACATTGCACACTACCGAATCCCTAAAATGGAAATGTTCCGTTGCAGATATGAAGAAAAAAAAACTAAGAAGAAGAAGAATAAGAAGAAAAAGACATAACTTGAGTCAGCCAAACCCAAAGAAAACAAAAAAAAAAAAAAAGAATAAAGAATATTTACACCGTTTTTTTTTTAATATAAAAGTAAATTCCTAAATACGCCTGTATCTAATGGAGAATAAAAGCCTTTATAGTTGTAGATAAACGGTTAAACATTTAGATTTTTTTTTTTAAAAAAAAAAAGAAACATTTTATTTATATTAAAAAAGATAATATGACTTTTACTATATGCTTATCTATAAACTGAATGTCTATCGGTCAAAAACGTTAGACTAAAAAAAACACAATTAGATTTTTTGGACTCAAGCATTGAATTTTTTTAAAACTAATGACCCCACTTTTCACTTCAAGATGGAGGGGAGCAGTATTTTTTTTGTAAGATTTCTTCAACGATAATTGACCTATGCATTTGTTCAATTCTTTTTTAAAAACCAAATGTTCATGTAACTCCCACCTCTATTTTTTCCTTTTTTTTTTTTTTTTTTATCTTTTGTTTGTTTGTGTATTATCAACCATTTGTGAAACCTCAATTGTGCCGCTCACAAAAATCTAGAATGGGAAAAATGAGTACACAAAGCGATATAACAAGAAAAAAAAAAAAAGATTGTGTTTGACTAAAAAAATGGATATTAAAGTGAGACCAATTTAGGATAAAACGATATATTATTGGAAACCATTGAAATATCTATTTATTTATTTTTTTTTTTTTTCAATTCAGATTTTTTTTTTTTTTCATATATTTAGTACGTAGAACTTCCAGTGTCTTTAATTGAATTCTCGAGAAAGTTTTATTTCTTTTTTTTTTGTTTATAAACATTGTCAATAAAGCTATCTACAAGACAACGGGAACAAGTGTAGAGTATTCAAGTCTTAGGACGGAAAACAGAAGAACCAAAAAAAAAAAAAAAAATACAAATACAAATAAAAGTACTAAGGGATTAAAAAAAACAAATCAGACCAAATAACGTTTTTTTGTTTTTTATTTTTATTTTTTGTTGAAAATATTGTGTTTTTTTTTATTTTTAATTTTTTTATTTCTCGCTGGATCGGGGAACTTTTTCAAAGCATTAAAGCAGTTTACGGTTGGAGATGACCGACAATACAACCTTAGAAAAACCGATGAGGAGATTTCAAATTTTTTTTTTTTTTTCATTTCGATTGGATCTTAAGAAAACATGGCTTGCCGATATTTTTAAACCCCAAAATATACTTATTAGTTTTTATTAAGAATCTTTAAGATAATAATAAAAAAAAAATTAAAGACCATGTTATTTTATTTTATTTTTTTTTTTTGAAGAACCCTGAAAAGAAGTGGAGCCATTTTTATAAAAAAAAAAAAATAGAAACAATTAAAAAAAAAACAGATTTGAGGGAGATGAGTCTTGGTAAACTTGTGTGTATAGTTTTGTAATGCTTTAACAGGCATAGGTACTAAGCATTCTATTTTGTAAAAAAAAAAAAAAAAATGTTTTGCCATTTTAAACATCTTTCAGTTTAAAAAAAACATTTTCTCCATTTCAAGTATTTAAAGATATCATTTCCCGCCGATCCTTGTCGGAAAATTTTTTTTTTTTTTCTTTTCTTTCTTCTTATCATCTTCATTATCCAAGTTTATCTTGTTTCCCCCCCCTCCCCCATTTTTTTTACCAAGCTGTTATTTTATTTTAATTTTTTTTTTATCTTACCATCAAAAGTAAGTGACAGCTTTGATTCATTAATTTGTTTTTTTTTTTCTTTTTCTTTTTACTAATCAATCTTTTTTAATCTTTTTTTTTTTGCTTCTTTTTAGAATTTTAATTTATCAAAAAATGTTGAGATCTAGCTCAGAAATGTGTGGGCCGGTCCTCCCTATGTCTGAGAAGAAGGGTTCAGTTAGCTCCATAAACAGTGAACTTTCCTTGGAAGAACTCAACATTCCTGAAGCTACTCTTCACTACCGAATTGTTGCAATGTATACCCGAGATGACGACATGAAGCTCCTCTTTTGCGAAGGGAAGTACGACCAAGCTATTTCTGACAATTGGGCTGTGTTTGCCGATAGTGCAGACGAGCATGTTTCATCTGAAGGCTTGTACGGTGTAACACAACGATATTTGTCATTGACTGAAGAGAATGCGACTCCAGGACTTTTGGAAATTTTCAAGTCTTTTGAATCATCTTCAGATAATTTGACAGGTTGCAACAAGACTTTCCGCATTAGTGAGCTTAAGACAAAAAACCAACACCGAGGAATAATTATGGTGGACGGACCCATGAATGAATTTGAAGTATGGTTTGAGGCCTTGTTGCTTTCGGAAGCCCAACTTGATACGGCTGCCATGCCCATTGTGGAGACTCCAGAGTTTGTAAAGAAAACTGCTGAGGCTATTACTAACTTGTTTGACCGTGAGATGCGTAATGTTACACACGATGATATGTGGGCTACCAAGGGTAGAGCATATTTCACTTCACGCATTGAATTTTTTGTGAGTCGTCGTGCAACAATTGAGGCATGTTTGCCTGCTTTCCCCTGCAAATCATCCAACACTATGAAGGTTGCCGGATCCAAGCCTGACAAGGGGGAGGAACTAGCTTTACGCCGATTACTTGCCTTTAGCAAGATGGTTCGAGAACTGTATGAACCTGGCTTGAAGATTTGGATTGTATCTGACGGTCACGTTTTTAGCGATTGCATTGGTGTTGATGACAGTGTTGTTGATCGATATGGAGCTGAGCTAAAGACTATGTATCGTCAAATCACTAAGGAGGACACTATTGGGTTCCGCTCTTTGCCCGAGTTGTTTACATCTCGGTTGGGTGCTTTTAAGAAGGAGTATACTGAGAATGTTGTTTTGCTTCATTACTTGAATAGTGAAATTAAGCCTGATGCTGAGGTGTGCCGTGAGATTCTCATGTGTGGATGCTCAACAGATCCCAGCATTTTGCGGTCCATGATTGATGCCAATGATGCAGCCAAGATTGCTCTGTATCGTGGGTTTTCTCGCTTTATGTTTGAAGATTTGGCTGAACAGCCCAGCACACTTAACATGTCTTCTAAGGCACGCAAGAAACTTGCTAGTAAAGTTGCGTTTGAAATGATTAAGCGTAATGAGGCATACTCCAACTTGGTTGGTCTTGTTTTACCATATCACTTGCGTTTGTCGATTCACGCTCATAATAATAGCGGCCCCAAGTTTGGCATTCGGTTGTTGTCGCATGATAAGGTTCGAACCGTCAAGTCGTTGTCACTAGAAGAGTTGCAATCTTCAGATGACTTGTTGCATATTCCTACACCCTGGCACAATTGTGTGGTTGACTTGGAGGGTAAGGAGTGCTATTATGTTGTCAAGTCTAAGGTTGTCAAGGATGCTATGGCAACTCAGGACTATGCTGGGGAATGGGTGGAAGGTACCTATGGTGAAGGTGGTCGTTTCCATTTGATGCATGTTAGTGGCGGCAATGAAGATTTTAGCGAGATGAGTAGCAGCTTTGAAATGTCTAGTGGTGCTGCCAATAGTTCTGACAGTGAATATCCCAGCAGTGTTGCGGAAGAGGATATTGATACAGAGAGCAGTGCTGGGTTGTTGACGAGTGTTACCAAGCAACTTGCAGGTATTGCTTTGAATGGTGAAGGCCGAAGCAATTACAAGAATAATAATAATAATAATCATGATAATAAAGCTATAGTTCCCAAGCGATATGGAGTATTGTTTGATGTTGCTTTGCGTTTGGGAGATATTATGAGCGTTATGGAAGCACTTTCACTTGTTCATGAAAAGTATCAGAGCTTGGACATTATGCTTATTGCTTGTGATAAAAATGCAGTTTCTGGAGCATTTGCTGGTGTTGTTGCTGCATTTGGAAATATTCCTCTATATTGTGTAGAGGAGGCTCCTAAGTTTGATGTTCTTGTTGTTCCTGGGACTGTTAAAAGCAATGGTCGGCTTAGCTGCAAGATGTGCAAGTTTATTAATGAGCAGCATGAACAAGTGATGCACGTGTTTGGAGCTGGTTCTGGGTCATTTATTTTGAGCAAGGCTGGAGTACTTGATGGTTTGGAGGCGAGTGTTGGAGAGAAACGCAAGATGGTGGCTATGCGCAGTTATGAGAATGTTGCATGGGTGAATAAACCATGGGTTCGCAGTGCCAATGTATGGACTTCTAGCAATGCTAGTTCAACTATGGATGCTTTGTTTGCATTTATTGCGGAAGTTTATGGTGATGATATTGGTTGTTATGTGTCTAGCAGCATGGGATACTAAGCGGAAAAAAAAAAAAAAAAAAAAAAAGAAAGAAAGAAAGAAGGTTCTTGTGGCTGATAGGTGGAACGGGAAGTTGAATTATTATTTTTTTTCATCATTTTAATTTTTTTTTTAATTTAATTTTTTTTTTTTTGTTTGTTTTTCTTTAATTATGGATGTTGATGATTGTATTAATAACTTGGCCAAGTAATAATTTTATTTAATGATAATGGAATAATTTTGATTAATGATGAAATAGGAAATTGGTGATTTGGGAATGGAGGATTAGTTTTTTTTTTATTTTTATTTTTTTTTTGCAATAGAAAACCAATGAGCCGCACTCTTTAAAAATTAAATAAATAAATAAAAGCCGCATGTAAGTATTGTACGGCTAATTTTAGAAGGTGGAGGAAGGTATGACTAATCAATAATTATTAATTAATTATAATTAACATATTTATTTATATATAATTATAATGTGATGTCAGGATGTGATAAAATAATGTGTTTGAGACTTTGGATTTAATAAAAGTTAGAAGTATTTGCTATTGAAAAATGATTATTAGAAATACAAATGAAAGTATTCAAATGACTTTTTTATTTTATTTTATTTTTTATATAAAAGCACTCATTTTATTTTTTCTTTTTAAAAAAAAATAGAAAAAAAAAATAGAATTAAAAAAAAAAAAAATTATTTTTGCGTATTTTTGCGTATTTTTTTTTTCTATTTATGAATACTTGATCACTAGTATTCATTATTTAAAACATCAGTTAGCTATAATGCATTAATTTAGTACTCTTCTGACATGATTGTCAGAATTATAACAATATTGTAATGGTTATAACCAATATGACCAATATTAAAGGTCCTTATCGGGTTTGTTTATTTATTTATATATTTTTTTTTTGTTTCTTTGTAGTCTGTTAGTAGCTTTTAATTGTTATTCAAAACCACTCAAACGACATCTGAAACTATCAGACCAAAAAAAAGAAAAAAAAAAAAAAAAAATGATTTTATTGAGGGGTGAGTGTGTGAGAGGGATACACTGTTGTGTCAGCATTCGGCCATGTGGCTGTTTGCAAAGTGGAGACACTTTTTGTTTTTTTTTGTGTTTTTTTTTTTGACATTTAGCTGGGCTGCTTAAATACTCTAAGCCTGTTTATTCTAATAGTGTAAACTGTCAACTTATTGATTATTTATTATCGTATATTTTTATTGATTTTATTTTTATTTTAAAGGTTCTTTTGGACCTCCTCTATTTGTAGTACACAAAAAATAAATAATAAAAAAAATAAAATAAAATAAAATAAAAAGACACTCCGATCCGACAGTCCAATTTGTTTGTCGTTTGCGGGTGGAAATTTAGAGGTTCCGCACTACCTGGGCTTTGGATAAGAGTGAAATATTACGTAATGTTTGGCTGTGATTTTTTTTTTTTTTTTTTTTTTTTTTTTTTTTTGACGCGTGTAGGCTATACAGACAGACAACTAGCCAGCCAAACAGACGCGTGTCATTGCTGACATAAGAAGCTGTTGAGCCAATGACAGCAAGTGTTTCTAAGTTTGTTACAACACGGCTGAATATTTTTGTTACAATAAATGTGTGTGTGTGAGAGAAGAAGAAGAAGAAGAAGTAGAAAAATTTTTTATTTTTTTTTCAAAAAAAAATTTTTTTTTTTTTAAAGGCAGGTGAGGCGGCGATGACTGCGCACTTTGCCAAGGTTTTTTTTCTGAGGCTAGGGTTAGGGGAATAGCTTTGGTGATTCACTTTTTTTTTTTTTTTTTTCTTAGTAAGTATAAAATAATGTAGTGGTGGTGGTGGTGGTGGTGGTGGTGGTATAATAATTTTACCTTATTTTTTTTTTATAATTAAAATTATTAAATAAATGTAAAAGAAATTTTTATTTTTAATAAAAAAAAAAATCCCTTTTTTTTTTTTTCTTCTTTTACTCCTCACCTCTCTTCACTCCTTAAAAGTTGGTTAATTTTGGAGGCAAAAAGTTTTTATTCTTCTTTGAATAGCTTTTGCTTTATTCACGAAATTTTATATTTCTTCTTGTTTTCACGCTCATTTTTTTTTTCTTTATAGGAAAAAAAATATTCTTTAAAGCTTAGATTTTGCTCTTTGCTCAGCCTACAAGAAGACCAGGTGTGCATCACTAGATTCAAGTCTTAGTGTGTGCGCTTGTACTACCCTCCCCTCCACAAACAAGTCCGTTTTGTTCTCTGTCTGTCCTGCCTCCGTGGGTCCCAGCAATAGACTATTCTTTTTTTTGTTTGAGAATCCTTGTGGTTTCTCTCAGATTTCAAACTACTAGGTAAATATTATAATTATTATTATTATTATTATTATTATTATTATTATTATTATTACAACTGAGTATTGAATCCAATATGTATATACTAACAATTTTTAGTTAATCTTAGTTGTTATACATCTTTTTTTTCCCATCTAAACCACCGTCATCTTTCGGAAATCCCTCTATTCACTTAAAAGCAATATCTATCACAAATTATACCCACTCGACTGTCGTTCAGAGTTCCTTTTTTTTTTCATTTACATTTTTTTTTAATACCGAAGAAAAATCGAAAAAAAAAGAAAAAAAACTTCACTACTACTACCACTCAATACATATTCATCTTAGAAAACAGTTTTTTATTTTTTTAAAAAAAAAAAAAAGAAAAAAAATCAACCGTCTTCAACAACATTTGACGAGCTTTTCACTAAGTCCTTCGTCTTTGATATCCTATTTTAAACAACCGTTCTTTGTTTTGCTATTTTAATAACTTTATACATTTTCGATAATTAAATTTTTCATCATAACCCAACAAAAATGTCCACCTACCCTTACCACCACGTGATCTCATCATCAAACTATATGGTGTCTTCCGATCATTACCAAATTCATCACCAGCAGCAGCAACAGCAACAGCAGCAGCAGCAACAGCAACAGCAAAATAACCATTTTGCTACTGTCGCTGCCGCAGCTAGCAACTCGGTTCATTCTATTCCTCAAATGAACCGCTCTATGCAACAGCAACAAGCTTCTGCTCTTCCTTCCATGTCTCAAAATAACCTCCCTTACCCCTCACCTTACGCTCCTCCTGCTCCTCTTGCTCAGAATTACAGCTACAGCCAACCAGCTCCAATCAACCCGTATATTCCCCAGCAGCAGCAGCAGCAACAACAGCAACAGCAACAGCAACAACTTGTTCCTCTTCCTCAACAGCCTCCTCAACTTCCTCTGCCGCAACAACAACAACAACAGCAGCAGCAACAGCAGCAACAGCAGCAACAGGCCCAGAGATTGCCCTCCCTCACTCAAGCCTCCCGTCACTCGTCTTACAATGGACTCCCTGACATGAGCTCTTACCAATACAATAACTCTTACCAGCTTTCTTACCCCAAGAAGGCTATGAGCTCTTCCTCTTCGGCCAGTTTATCTCAATCACAGGTTGGCTCTTATTCACTCAACGGTACCACATTTTACGTTCCAAGTGTGAATAATGTTCCTTTTGATAATGGTGACTTTATTACTAGATCCCAGCAATATGCTTACCAGCAAAAGCAACAACAGCAACATCAACAACAGCAGCAGCAACAACAACAACAACAACAACAACAAAAGTACTCTCAGCAGCAACAACAACAGCATTACTCTAATTCTTCCAACAACAATCCTAATGAAGGTATTGTTACTGGAGGTGTTGCTGCCAAGCTCGACTATAATCTTGAGGAAATGTCGCAATTTATTGCTGTCAAGGCTTTGGAAATCATGACTAGATATACTTACAAGGCCAATCTTTCTACCAAGAGTTTTGTTGATGCTTTTACCAAGTTTACTTTCCAAGTCTTGACTGCGACAAGACTTCCAAAGTCGACCCTTATTCTTGCTCTTGTTTACCTTTCGGACAGATGGTCCCGTGGCGGCATTCCTGACACCCAGTCGCCTATTCACGAGGTTTACAAGATGCTTGTTGTTGCTCTCCTTCTCGCCAATAAGTTCCACGACGACAATACTTTTACTAACAAGTCGTGGCACGAGGCTACCGGCGTTCCTGTTTCCGACTTGAGAATTATTGAGGCTGACTGGCTCCGCGCCATTCAGTGGAACCTCAACCTTAAGAACACTGCCGGTTGGAACGATTGCCACAAGGAGTATCGTAACTGGATTGCCAAGCGTCGCGAATCAGCCGCTGCTGCTGCTGCTGCTGCTGCTGCTTCTGTTGCCTCTTACTCCTCCATTTATCCTTCTCCTTCTCGCTCATCTTATCCCATTAGCCCTGCTTCTTCTCCCAAGTCTCGTGCCATGTCGAATGAGAAGGCTCGCTCTCTTTACTCGAGTCCGCCTAATCTTTCGTGCCCTCCTAACCTTTCGTACTCTTACTCGAAATGGTATCCTAATGGCAATGGCTCCAATACCAATAACAGCTATTCTGCTGTTGCTCCTCCTGGTACACTCCCCCCATCCTTGTCTTCATCGTCACTTGCTAGCACTATGTCTCGTTCTAGCTCTATTTCGACACTCGCAACTCCTCCATCTTCTCGTGGTCTTTCATACAATTCTTATTACATGTCTGCTGCGCCTCAGCACCCTTATGGAAATGCAAATGAAAATATGTATCACCGTCTCCACCCTGTTTCATCTTACTACACTACTGATTATGCAGGTGGGATGAGTTGCAACTGTTCAAACTGCAACAACAATGATGTTCACAAGATGTCTTGGGGTGGATATACCTACGCAGCTGCTTGCTAAAATCATTACTCTTTGAAAAAAATGATGCATTTAACTTTTATTTATTTTTTTTTACACATTCTTCAACAGGAAGGTATAAAATAAAAAATTAAAAAATTAAAGATTAAGTGGATAATTCTATCGACCAACAAAAAAAAAACTCACACACACAAACAAAAACGAAAAGGAAAAAAAAAAAGAAAAACTTTCCATAAAAAAATTTGAAAAATTTTTACAAAAACCTTTACAAAAAACTCGAAAAACTTGAAAAATTTTTACAAAAAAATAAAAAATTAAAAAAAAATTTCTTTTATCGACATTAAAAAAAAATTTCATCTGTTTTCTTCGGTTTAATTTATTTTGAGAAATTGCTTTTAACCCTATTTCTTTTTCTCTATCTCTTTACCCTACTACTTTTTATACTTTCAAAAACATCATTTTTTTAAAATAAAAAAAATTTTATATTTACAACTTTTTTAACTCCAAAAAAAAAAAAAAAATTCTTTTTATTTTTAACTTAATATGTCTCTTTTATAACTATATATTTTTTAGGAAATTTGTTTTCTGGGCTTTTAATTAAGTCACATTTGATATATTTTTTCCAATTAATAAAAAAAAACTTTTTCAATATGTTTATAATAAACTTTTTTTTTTATATACAAATTAAACTTTGATATCTCCAGTCAGCAATTTTGCGACGATGCTAGCAAAAGCCTCAATGCCCTTTTCAATTTGAGACTCAGAAAGATACGACACTGAGATTCTAAAACAATTTTTATTCCATCCAAGGTCCTGGCCAGAGACCTCGAAAGCACCACCAGGAGCCACGACGACGTTAGAATGGGCACTACAGGCTGCTGCGATTTTAGAAGCAT